ACTTACCACTTTTCAACTCTGTTTACAACCATTCCCCACGATAAATTAAAGTCCAGGATTTTTTACTTCGACGGCTGTTTTTTCAATAAAAATGGAATTTACTTACCTTGTCATTGGTCATTTGCAAAATTATTTTGTTAAAAAACATTCTGATTGTACACACAAGTACTTTGAAGTTGATATTGAAAAGATGCTTGAGTTTCTGACAATATCTATGTGGGTTTTGGAGACCATGTCTTCCAAAATTTGTTGGAATTCCAATGGATAACAATTGCGCCCAGTTGTAAGCAGACCTATTTTTGTATTTTGTATTTTTATGAATCAGAATTTATTCAAAATCTTATACATGAGAAAAAGAAATCTCTCGCTGTGGCCTTCAACTTGAAATTTAGATATATCGACGACTTGTAATGAATTAACGATAGTTATTTCCATTCATATGTCGACACGATATATCCCAGTCAGCTTGAAATAAAAGATACCACAGAGTCTGACACATCTGTTTCATATTTGGATATTTTGCTAGAAAAAGACATAGCTCTATGATAAACGTGATGACTTTAACTTTTCAATCGTCAGCTTCTTTTACTTATGCAGCAATATACCCTTATCACCTGCATAAGGGGTGTATATCTCTCAGTTGATTCGATAAGCAAGAGCTCAAGAGCATGCTCTACGAATGAACAATTTCTAAAACGAGGTGAGTTATTGACAAACAAGTTGATGAAACAAGATTATCAACAGTCTCGTTTAAACCTGCATCGATGTTACTTAAAATAGATGCTGTACTTATAATGCTGTATAAACTGGAACAATTAAATTCTGAAGTTAATATAAATTCTACTTTGATCAAACTTGCATATCTATTGCATCCTAGAAAACATTTCAGTAAGAATGCCTCGGGTACTGCAGGTGACCTGTATTTTTCAGATGATGTTGAAATAAATGGAAGTTTACATGTTCCCAGTTAATTGAAAGCCAACAACGATCAAAATTGCATAGATGTTGCACTGGGACATACATGTAATGATGTTCTGGATTCGACATGTCACTTACATTTTGAATTAAGCTGAAATATGTCCATAGCTTCAGATTTAGCACTCTATTCTTTAGTAGTATTCAGGTGCAATTGAATTTGAAAATAAAATTTCAGATTTCAAATGGAAAATGGGAGATAACTTCATTAAAATATATCTGTACAATAAAAAGCTAAGTGTTCATGAACGAAGTGGGGGCAGTACACATTAAAAATTTGCTGATGAATGTTTCCATGTTTGTTTTCGAAATTGAATATAAGGAGAAATCTTTAAAAATCATCATCTCAAGAACAGTAGGGCCATGATTAGCAGCAGATAGTTAAATTCAGCGCGTCATGTTAAAAGACTCCATCCCTTCCACCTTTGTTTATCAATAACTTCAAATACAGTTGGTATCCCTAAATTGTGATTGAAATATTATCTATATTATATTATGTTATCGGTGTGTACAGCGAATGATACTGATATGTCCTTTTAGTCATTATCATAATCTTCAGTATTATAAAAGTTTCTTTGAAAAATCACACACAAAAATTAAATGATGTCTCTCAGGACCCCAATCATATTGTTTTCCAATTAGTGACGTAGATCCATCATTTTATAGCTCACTGAACTTGACTTTGGAGATGGAAACTCTCAAGTATTCTTAAACATTTTATGAGAATATGGATGGAAATAAGATTTTACAGACAGATGTATTTTTTTTATTTTCATTCATCGAGAAAAGACTAGATTCTTATTCTCATAAACTTTTTTAACTAATTGATAAATTACACAATATATTTACATTAACATGTCATTTACTTAAATGAAAACAATTAATTATTGGTTACATGTACAACACAGAAAATAAAATTGTTTTATTGTATACAAATACCACTCCCCCTTCACTGGACTCTTTAAAGCTGAACACGTACTATTCGTACATAGGCATACGCCATATTAGTTTTCCTTTTCCTATCTCATCAATATCAGCACTTGGGTATACTCTTCGAATTCGTTACATCTGACTGCTTTCTTGTCACGAGTACGTGCGTGGAATGCACGACACGTGTTAGTGTTGGTTATCTAACATTACTTTTGTTTACATTTTATTGCAGTTTTTGTTTGCACTGACCTGTGCAACCGATGTAAGTTGTTTTTTTGTAAAGTTCTCTTCTGCCGTGGAAGAAGCACACATTTACTTTTTTCGCTATCGAGAGTTTTACAACAGCTATGTAGAATATATAAGTCCGTCCATACCGGTAAAAACTTATTACACTGAACCGAAACGAAGTGAAAGGCTTATATAGGGGCCGTACAGCTAACGAAAAATGCAGAGTAATATGGCGGACAAACATAGATCTCTGCCTTTTACGAATCGTGTTCAGCTTTAAGGTAACTTTAATACCTCGGTAAATGAAATAGACAAGGGTCGTGGTAGCTTAGTGGTAGGGCGCTCGTTTCGTGATCGGGAGATCCTGGTTCGATTCTCGTTCTCGCTTAAAATAGGTAGTGATTGTTCCTTCGTTAAAAACCAGGCACTTGAAGTGAAAGTCTTTCGGATGAGACTTTAAAATCTACGGTTCCGTGTCACGGTAGGCGTTGGCACGATAAAGAATCCTTACTGCTCAATGGCCCTGAGTGCCAAGTAAAGATCTTAATTTGAAGCCCTTCAACTGTATATGGTGATGTCTCATATGATTGGAAAATTATGTTAACAAGGGATGTAAAATAACAAAGAAACAATCAATCTATCAATTGAGTCATATAGACCATAACTCAATCAATTGTTCTAGAGTGAACAACTATTTATTAAGTGATATCAACATATCCATAATTTCAAATATTGATAATTTAATTGCTTTGTTGCTCAATTGTTGCTTCAAACGGCTTTTATTTTAAAAAAAAAAAAACGTTGTAAAATAATAAAAGATATCTTCAACTGAAAACTCAGAGATCAAGAAATAAGTCATTCCGTGGGCTACATTAATTTTTTAGAGCAATATTTCCACCACGTTGTTGAGCTCAACAATTGAAGTGATGCTTTTACCAATTTGATTGATGATAGCAATAATTGATTTGATGCACAATGATAAATTGAAAATATCTTCAAATATTTCTTAAGAATTCAAATGATGAGAGCAATAATTGATTTGATGCACGATAATGGAATTAATAATATCTTCAAATAATTTTTTAAAAATTCAATTATTTGAATTTATGGTAATTTGGCGCTCTATACAAGGAAAACCTAACATCAACTTTTTTATCTACTCAACCCCCTCAATATCTAAGTTTTGAGTTTTCTACATTTAAGGACAGATGATACAAACAAAAGAAAGATGGGTGCCTAGATTTGTATATATTTTTGGACCTATTTTGATTGTAAATGGGGCAAATAATAAATTTCAAAAATATTAATAAATTGTAAATTTTCTATCACGTTCAAAATGCTACCTTTCTACTTTCATACTTTCATACTTATTAAGCTATACAACTTTTTGTCACTTAAAATACAATTATTGTAAATCTTTGATTGAAAAATTAAAATCTATTCGGTTAAACTTATTTATTTTATTCATATAAACATCTCTTAAGTTGTTATTTTCAAGATTTCTGATAAAGGTCTGTTTGTATCATCTGTCCTTTAGACTATAAAAAAGGGAATGAATCTGATAGGTTGATTTAATATGTTAGTTTTCGTTATTTTCTTTAATTTTAAAGTTTATCTTTACTGCAACGAAGTTTGAGTGGTATACTGGCATCCCCGCGTCCGTTCTTAAATCTGTCTGTCTGACCATCCGTCTGTATAGCTGTAGACGCAAGGATAACCTTAGCGTTAAGATCACTTTCGGCTTATCTTAAGGAGGTTGGATCCTGTTATCAAAAGTATTGAGAATTTTTTATCAAGTATATTTTTGGAATCTAGACACATAGTTTAATTAAAATTCAATGCGCTTCTTTCGGCACTATGGAGCATTTAATTTGACCTTTTTGCACTGAAATTACATCTAACACATGTATCAGTTTTTCAAAGTTTTTCCTTTAATATTTTTTATCCAAATAAATTATGTGTACAAATACAGTCTTTTTCGTCTTGAACAGTGTCTTTAAAATTTGTGGCAACAAAAAAAGTTTCAAATTACTTCGCATAGTCAATTATTTGACCTTTTTGCACTCAAAAAATGTCATTTTTCTGGAATTAAACATTTAACAAGCAATAAAATCATTTGAAAGAAATGACATTTTTCTGAGTTTAAGCAGAATGGTTAAAATTATCTCGTTTATTCAGAAAATAAAATTAAATGTGGGGGTCTGTGATGTTAATTTTTAGATATAACTAAAATACTGCTAATTTTTAGCCTAAAATGGGCTATTTTCCCTAAGGACTTTCACAATATATTTGTCCAATATGATGACAGAATTCATGATGGTTAATTTAATATATTATTTAGGACCAGGATAAAACATTTCACTGCTCGAAATAACTTTGTGTGCAGGCTGCATGTAAAAATAGGAATCCAAACTTAACAATACTGTAAATATTTCGAATGAGAAAAATTGATCATTTTCTTCTATAAAACCTTCCGCCACAAAATATAGTTCCTAACTTAATGCTTTCAGTACGGAATTTAATCATGGGGTTTTAATTCAATATAGTTAAATTAGCATTGCAGAATCCAAATTTATTGTAAGAACTAGAACATTATGCAGAATATTTAAGATAGAGGTCTACACAAAAATTTGCTCAAAAGCTCAGGAACGAACCTCGTTAAGGGGTATCCAAAGCAATCTTGCGGATGTGGTGCATCTGTAGATACTTAGTGAAGTACATGCCTTGATGGTGCTCCGCTGAGGAAATGGTCTTGTTAAGGACACCTTTAGTTTACATTTGAATTATAGAAATTTACTCGAAAGTCAATCAAAAGAAATACTTCTACTTTTAACATTCCGAAATGGGAAAAATAGGAAACATTTTTTTTATATTTTAAAACCTGAGAAAGTGGTGACCGGTGCGTTTCCTTCTGTATAGTAACCGCTACCTCGATAGCGCCTAACCCAAACCTTGTCACCAATCGAGAGGTGCATTACCGCTAGGTTTGAACCGGCGTCATAAGTTTCACCATACAACATAGCTAGGACTTTTGGTTTACTGTTTAGCACAATCTCTGTCATAATATATTGTGAATTATAGGCTTGCACAATATGGAAAAACACATAATGTCCACTAACGGGGGCAGTGAAGACGCCTGTCCTCGAGTCGTATCCTCCGCCAACGCTGTACACGACTCTATCAAACACCAACGTCCCGCTGTTCCAGGAGGAACTAGCAGAGGACACTCCAGCTGTGAAGGCTACTCTTTTTGTCAGATCTGAAATGTTAAAGGGTGCTGAATTTAAAATGATTTATTTCTTATTTAGACCATCCAAGTAGAATGATGGTTAACTTCTCCAAATATACATTTGTGTATATCAGATGAAGTGCTGAAAGATGTTGAATCCGAAAAACATCTGGGAGTAAACATTGAAACATTGAAACACTATTGCGCTACAATAGTCATATTGGTTCTGTTTGCTTATCCTTGACGTATAAACTATTTACAATACGTAAAATAAAAAAAAATCCCATTACACACAAGAAAACTGTTGTATTATATATACATTTTGCCTTCTTTAAATTATTGTTTGACTATCTGGGGCAATGCTCCAAGTGTTAGCATAGGATATAGTTTTTGAATTACAAAAACGGCAGTCAGAATTATATTAGATGTGGTCCCAGATGCCCCATCACTTCCATTATTTGAGAAACTTGGTTGGTTGACCATATATGAATTGATTGATTTTCAAAAATACATATTACTTTACAAAACATTTCATGGTATGACACCTGAATATCGGAGACACTCTTTTGAATTCATTTCTTCTGATAATTATATTCGTACGTTCTGAAACCAATTATGACCTTCGTCTACCAAGTATCGAACAAATCTGTTTAAAAATTCTTTTCAATATTCAGGTGTTCATTTATGGAACAAATTATCTTAAAATGTACGTTTTTCACCAACTGCACAATCCTTTCGTAAAAATGTAGAAAAAAAAAATATTATTAATTAATTGCCGCAACATTTCTTGATTATCTTAACTTATATTTTTAATGTAAGATGTACTTTTTCTCAAATGTACTTCAACTTTGTCATGTATTTGTGACCAGTATTCTGCTTATTTTAATTTTGTATTCATTATTGTATTATAGATGCAAAGAGGGCCCCGAGGAAGACTAGTGCTTTGCACTAATCAGGTTACCCTCTTTAAATTTATTATAAAGGGGGCAATTTTGATAACAGATTTAGGTTGATTTCTACAACTTTCAAATTGAGTGGTAAGGATATTAGAATGGTTAATTCATTGCAATATAAAAGAATATATATATATATATATATATATATATATATATAGATATAGATATAGATATATATATATATATATACCACATTGATTGTTCGTCAAATTCATTCGGAACACCTCGAGGGATGACACAGTAGAGGAAAGCTTCAGCTGGTCAAAGTAATTTTGTTTAACCTCTGCCTTAATCTCGTCAATAGATGCATTGAAGTCAACTGAAAAAAATGATACATTGATATCTTTAAAAATATCAAAAGAATAATGTAATATAGCACTCTCATCCAATTGCTAACTGAGGTGTTATGTGATCACAGCAAAACAACTTGTTGAGAGATATATGAATATTTTAGTGTTCCAAGAAATCATTGAGAATTTTTATATAATACATTATCTAAAATGTTGGATATAATTTAATTTTACTGTTTTATTTCATGACAATACCCCGTACATTCTAATGATATAGATTTACTTTATAATGATGCAGTTTTCTTGGATAGCCTTCTATTTATTTTATATACTTCCTGTTGTCTGCTGATGTTCAAAATTACTGCTATCAAAATTTGAAAGGCTATTTAAGCTATGTATTAGCAAGTGATGGTGAAATCTGGTGATATTTCTAAGACACTGAGAATCTCAGCGTCTACTTTTTATTGTGTGGTACAAAATATTAAAAAGACTACGGAATTCAATTAAGGAAAAGAGTTTGTAGGCCTAGTAAACTAACATTCACATATCAAAGAAAGCTCAGTGTTTCAGAAGTATTGCTAGTTTTGCAATTCTTTGATAATAAACATTTACAATTGGCTGTTTTCTTCAAAAGCACTCATTTTGAACATTAGCAATCGACCAGAAGTATACAAAGAAAACGGTTTAAAAGATGTTTATGAAAACTGCATATAAAATAAGAAAGTAGCAAGTATTGACATTTGATTTAAACAATACATATTATATTTTAAAAAATATTTTGAAAACACATTTTACAAAAATATTCTCAATAATTTCTGGAAACACTATACAAGAGCATAAATCTCTTATAAAAAAAAGAAGAGAAAAAAAGAAATAAAAAGTGTGTAATAGTATAGGTAAATGCAAGAAATGTTTTGAGTAAAAACAGGCACGAATCTTACCAAAAATGGAAGAAATTATAGCATTCTGTGAATGTTCCAGATCAGTCACTGACTGTGATATCTTATTGCTGGTTGTCAGTAAATCACTATTCAATGCTTCCAAAGAAATGTTCAATCTTGTAGATAATTGTTCATATTTTCTCTCTATCATTTTAGGAATATCTTTGTCCAATTCCAACATATGTTTATTCAAATCAAGAAGGGTAACTGAAAGAAAACGAACTTCAATTTTCAAATCGCCAAGTATCATACTCGTATTTGTCTCAAATTCTTCTCTTCGCTCCTCAAACCCTTCCTCAAATTCTCTGAAATTTTCGTTAATTTGTGTAAAGTTTTCTTTGACAGCGTTGAGAATTTCTTCATATCTTTCATTTTCAATTTCAAGTCTCTGGTTTTCACGTTTGAGTTTATCTACTTCCTGTTGCAGAGTCGCTATTTCTACACGTTTTATTTTATCAATTTCTGTCTCTGTTTTCTGTTGTGCAGACTCCATATTCTCCATATTTTGCTTAAGATCGATCATGTCCTTCATTAATGCATGAACATTCTTTACTAGAGTCATCCTGATGATTGTTTCTTGGTTAAGAAGCTGTCGGAAAACGTCGACATTTTTCGATTCCAATTCACTTATGTCTAGTAGAGACGAGTTTAGGTTGCTGTTGTCTGTGAGCACGGAAAATCCATACGTCTGTAGGAGAGGAAGCAACGCAAGCGCACACAGGAGCGTTTGTTTCATACTGATAGTTAGACAGGAGTGATCATTTGAAGCATTTTGAGTCGTGCATGTAAAATAAAACCTTCACGAAAGTCCTTACCCTTTATATTTTATTCATGCCAGACAAAAAAAAAACTTTCTATACATGCACGGATTACTATAAATCTTTGACATGATAAGATGTTAGTCTGAATCAACAGCAATGATATTCTTACAGAAGAATTATCCCATAAGATAGCTTATTTTTTCTTTAAATGAAGCATACACTACGTGAAATCATTTACCTGTTTGATAGGAAAATTCAAGCAATATCGACTTAATTTTGAACTCATAGTAATATCTATTTATTTTGCATGTACATTTTTCTACTACAGGTATATAATCTATAAATTATAGATTTAATATCTTAACAAAAGTTTTAAAGGCCTTTAAGTTCACGTGTGTTTCACATATGAATGTATTATGAAGTTCCTTGTTACCCAATACTAAACCAACTTTCATAATTTTAGCGATACCCATCTATAGTATGTTGTGCGTGTTGATGCTTGCATATCAAGTGTTAGTACAATCATGCTCCTCAGCATAAAATAGACATCTGCTTCTTCAATAAAAATGAAACTCGGAAATATTGGTATCATCTACAAAATTACTTTTAAAAACTCATCCTTATTCTACATATAAGTACTCAGAAGCTGAGATTATGAAAATGCTCGAGCTCCCCATTGACAATGTCTATGTAGTCTTTGGAGAACAAAAGACCATCCAACACCCTGCTGGAAATTCGATGTGCACAATTCGTGCTTCTTCATTAGCCGACCTGTTTTTGTATTCTGATGAAGCAGAATTTATTTAAAAAACTTCTACGTGAGAATAAAAAAAAACTCTTGATGTGGATTAAATTAACGACGCTTTATCAGTTAGCAATAGTTCTTTTTATTCAGTCGCCCTCGTGGCGCAGTGGTTAAAACGTTTGATCTAGAGTTTCGGAGTAAGGAGTTGATCCTTACAAATCCTACTGTGGGACGTGGAGACCCGTCCTTCGGATGAGACCGTATAAACCGAGGTCCCGTGTCTCAGTAGGTGCTGGCACGAAAAAAAATCCCTCACTGCTCAAAAGCCGTAAGTGCCGAGTGCAGGTCTAAATTTGCAGCCCTCCACCGGCAATATGAGTGAAAAAATCTGGTAGGGAAGTTAAACAAACAAATCAACAAAAACAAACGTTATTACTCATATCTCGACTCGATATATCAAAGTGAACTCGAAATAAAAGACACTACAGAGTCCGTCACAGTTTTTTTTCTTCCAAATTTGGATGTTTTACTGACTTAAAACAATGACTTCACCTTTTCCATCGTCAACTTGCCATATTTATGTGGACCAGGTATAAATCAATTGATATTACAGGACTTTCTACAATCTCATTTAAAGTCAGCATTTCGCAAATTCTTTGGTCCGTAAAATGCATGATCTTTGCAAAAACATGCTATCGTTGGGTCGTATTTTGACTAACATCTTTCATACCTTTTTAGCCATTGTTTCATACTAAATCTGAATACATGTACTTCGTTTACATGATAGACACAGAGGGCTCACAGCAAGTGTGACTGGTTGACAGGGGATGCTTACTTCTCCTGGACATCTAATCCCACTTCGGGTTTTCCAAGGATCTGTGTTTTCACTTTTTTCTTTATTTTTGCCTTTTTTCATTGTTTTGAAATGTCCTCTGTAAAACTTGAACGCCTTTGCATGCCTGATTCTAAGATTTCTAAGGGGAGTGAGTAAATTACACATTGATTTGTCTAATCGTAAGTTTGCTTTTTTATCGCTGAAGAGTTTTTAAACACATTTTTTAATGTAAAAAGAAAAATCATATTTGTATTTCTTTTTACACCTTTGTGTCTCTCTGTAGCCCCATCAGAAGAAAAATATTCCAAAGATTTTTCTTGTAAGTAAGGCTTGACTTGAGTGATTTTTATAATTACAGATGACATCTTGTCACTTCAGGCACAGAGTTTTATGGGAAGACGGTTTTAAATATATGTATTTTATATTAAAGATAAATAAAATATATTAATCCCCTTTTCCCAAGGGTAATATGTAAGCCCGGTTTTTCATGCCTATGCTCTGTACATATACATGTATATGTTTACAAACATATTTATTTACCTATGGACAATACATAATAAACTGTTATCAGAGAAATCTTTTTTGAGTTAAAGGGAAAGGCGAGCTTAGAGCGTTTGAGGACTAATGTGATATTGGATTTTTTTTTCTTTGCAAGATTACTGAACATGCATGAGTTACAATACTAAATGAGCCATTGATTACCTGTGAATATTTAACATCTGGCTTTGTTATGGATGTGTTCGAAGCGAATGTCTACGTCTGCACGATTCAATCAAATCTTGACTACTTTTTTCCCTTGTTTTTCATATTTTTTTCTGAATTTTACACAGAGATGATTAATTCAAATAAACAAAACATTTCACAAAGTCAATCAGTTGAGGAGAAAAACGACTGCAGAATTTGAATTTTTATATCTTGCTGAAAAAATTAAAGGAATGAAAAGGAGAGTTTGACATTTTCAATTTTCAATAAAATACTTGTATTTTACAATAAGAAAGCAGGTACATTGCAGACTTTGGATTAAAAAAAATCACACAATAAAAGTTGTAAACAGGTTTTAATTATAATCTGTAGTAAATTGCTCTGAATTTGCCTTCCAGACTATATGAGTGAAGTTGACATTCTGGATATCAGGGTAAAAAGTGCAGAATTTCATTTAAACTGATTTTTTTCGCAATCTAGTAATTATCCAGGAACCAAGAAGAGGTCCAATATCCAAAGCACGAGATAAACTTAAAATTTTGAAGCAAGCTTCGTAGTTGGTGTGATAAGAAAAAACGCCCATAGTAAATCTTTATAAAAATATATAAAAATGTATTATAAGGAGCCAGATGGTCCCTAAAGTAGAGATGGAGTAGACATTTAATCGTCCCCACAGGAATAGTACTGGCTTAGTCCACCTTGTGGGTAGACAAGCTATTTGTCTCCCGATCACTTGTATTGGATCAGTTTTATGTGTCATATTTTTTTTGTTTTTGTTTTGTTTGTTTGTTTGTTTGTTTTTATGTTATTTTGTTTGTTTTTTTTTTTTTTGTTTTTTTTGTTTTTTGTTTTGTTTTTTTTTTTGTTTTTTTTGTTTGTTTGTTTGGTTTTTTTTTGTTTTGTTTTTGTTCTTTGATATTGTCGCATTTCTACACTTTGAAGTGAGAAGGCACTTCTATAGTTTTTTTTTCTTTGGATCCTTGAATTTCGCTATAACTGAGTTCTGGTAAAAACTAGTATAACAGTAGTATTAGGAGCCTAGATAGCCCCTTTTGAGGGGGCTATACAGGCTCCTTGTACCTCAAAAGTCCGGTTGGGGGGGGGGGGGAGGGATGCACCTATATAGGGAGTTAAGTTGAGTGGGATAGGGAGTTGATAAAATAGGGAGTTTAAAAAGGCTCCTTGTACCTTAAAAACCTTTTTAAATTAAAGGCACCTATATAGGGAGTTGAGTTGAGCAGGATAGGGAGTTGATGGGATAGGGAGTTTAAAAAGGCTCCTTGTACCTTAAAAACCTTTAAAAATGCACCTATATAGCCTGTTAGGTTGTCTTGGCTAGCCTGTTTTTACGCTAAACAGTTCAATGAGTACACACAACAAATCACACCTAAGGAATAACAAGGATCAATTTTTTTTTTATTCATAGAACAAAAACAATAATAACAAAGTTTTTATTTAACACATCTCAAACACATACTAATTTGTTAATGCAAGAGGTGCTTCCTTTTCCAACTTGTCTTTAATCTCTGCAAAAGGAATACGACAATACAGGTACTCTGTATACGTTTCTGGAAGAACTCTTTTTATAGCCTCTCCTTCTTTCTTGGTCCAAATCAAATCTTCAAGACACTCTTCTAAATTCCTGTACCAGAAACCTTTAGCCAGAGTTCCACGATCATCTTTGATCACCCATTTGTATTGGTGATAGTGATGGTACATTCTTAATCTCACTTTAGATCCTTTTGGGACTTTGTCTTTTTTGCAACCACGCTTCTTGTGGTTTTTGTTCTGGATCGATTTTTACAAGAAATCCCTTGTTAACCCACACTTCTTCACAGAAATCCTTCATGAAACATCCTGGATGACTGCCAAAGAAATCCATGATCACTCCTATTTTAGTTTTCATCCAGGGTCCCTTGTTAAATTCAGGATCCTCCAAATGAGTCCAACGATACTCTATATTCTTTACCTCTGACTTTTTGAATTAACTTTTTCACAATAAGAAGTTTGTTTTTTTTTTTTTTTGCCTTTTTATATACCTTTGATCAAATCTATTTTTAGTCTCTGGAAAAACCAAATGCTGAGTAACAGGATTTTGCGTGCAAAAATCTGGAAAAACCAGTAACAGTAACCAAATGCTGAGTCAGCAAGAGAAAAATCTGGAAAAACCCAAGCAGTGTGTCGTGTGCAAAGACATGAATCTATTTTTAGTATCTGTGGTAAAACCAAATGCTGAGTCAGCAGGGTCGTGTGCAAAACCTTACGTTTTCTCTATACGTCTTTTACCTAGGCATTATGACGTCATACACTGTATAAATTCACGTCATGTGTATATATTTACATTTGCAAATGTTTTCTTTTATATAACACTATTAAAAGCAACGCGTATCTATATCCGTATAAACACAGGTTCCTCGCGTCATAAACGTTCGACGTAATTTCTCAGTGACGTCATAAAGGATCGACGCGCAATCAATAGATCAAACTCGTGCCGTTGAGTTTGAAAAAATAAAACATTTCACACGTTAAAGTTATAATCAGGCTAATATATAATATGAAGAAGTCACAAATGTAAATATAAGTAATAAGGTATTATTTTAAAACATCTATCGGGATATAAATACGGGTTGGTACGAGATCAAATTTACCATAAAGCCCTTCGGGCTTTATGGAATTTGATCTCGTGACCAACCCGTATTTATATCCCGATAGATGTTTAAAAATGATACATTATTTCTTAAATAAGTGCTCAAACGGTATATGGATTTCAATACCAAAACTGATTTTCAACAGTATTCCTTCATGAAAGTTCTGAATCCAGGATCAGTGTTGATGTTTCACTGGATTATTTAATGGATAGGCTTATTGGGTATATACTTGGATATCTGGTTAGTTTGGCTTATTTTTGTTAACATTTTTTATGATGATCATCTATGCATTTAACCACGTGTGATTTCTTAATGTGATCTGATGTTTTAAAAATTCATATAAACACTGCCATGTTTGCCTAAAATATGCTAGGAGTCCTCAAAAATGTTCGTATTAAGTCCTTTTGCATGGAAATAAGAAGTTATGATATAATCTCAAAATTTCTTATGTCCGACCAACATTCTGAATGTTCTTATGAGGAGCTTCGGGTAGACTTTACTTTACCGGTCCCCAGATCCGCAAGATCCGCGTGCTCATTGCACTATGGCGTAAGATTTACGTCACTCAACTGATTAGGGTTGGTTTTGTACATTTTTCGACTGGTTAGGGTTCGTCTTGCACCCACCTGAAAGATTAGGGTTAGTCCTTGCATAAGTTTTCGACTGATTAGGGTTAGTCTCGCATCCATCCGAGAGATTAGGGTTAGTCCTCGCACATGGCCGGGTTAGTCTAGCATGGTGCTTCGTTCACAATTATTTTTGTCTCCTTTTCACTGAATAAACAATATTTATTACTTTTTTCAGAGAACGAGGTTAAAAACTTCGTTTAAAAACGAAGTTTTAAACTAAACTTTTAACCGTAGAATTCGATTTTGGGGTCAAAAAGGCTAAAAACCTCATATCTTTAATTTTTTTTTCGATCGCTCACGCGATCTCGTATATACTGAAGTCGCCTACGGCGACACTATATTTTAGCGCGTTTTTCTGGGGACCGGTAAAGTAAAGTCGTTCCGGAGCTTCATAACATATCTTACAAAATCCATACTGTAGTCAATGAATTGGTATAATGCAATCTGGAATAATGTGATACATGCTTTTACAAGAAATAAAGTGGTATTCTCAGTTTTTTTTTCTTAATATATTTCTATGAACCTTTAATCACAGTGACCTAATATTAATTACTCAGATCATACTCTGCCTTTTATGCAATTATATTTTATCTTAGAGCTTTTTATGAAACATGCATAATTTCTTGTTTTATATGACACAAATACTTTTATGTTTTAATACTAAAACATCCTGGTGTTCAAAACAGAAATGGACCAAGGTTAAGTTAGTAAATATCAGAATCTCGGTAAATTTAATCATACGTATCCCCCTTCCTTTTTTACCTCATGCAGTCAGTGATTTTAAAAATCTACATGTAAAATTTATATTGAGTGCATTGTAAGTAAATGATCAAGGTTTGAACACCTTAGAATTCTGACGTACTAAATGGTAACCAAAGCGATATTAAGAATGTAATAAGAGAAAAAACAATTAAATATTGCAAAGCAGCCTTAAACTGAATATTTAAGGGTTCTGATACCTATTTCCTCTGTTTGACAGTGCAAAAATGAAGCTTATTTGAAATATTCAGTTATGATGCAAAACTCAATAAACAGGTGAATAACTTGAATTGAGACAACATTACGTTACCTTTTTTAAAAGCCTGCAAAGACTCTTATTGCCAGGAGTTCCTTTAAATAGTGGTCAGGTGGAATTTCAATTGGTCGCGTTCTGCAGTGACTGATACTTCATATCTCTGAACAGATACGTAGTAGATGCTGGGGAAACTAAGCTTTGATAATCATGATATTTTAGTTTCAGCTTTCTCACAAGAAAATTGCAAGAACTTTTCTATTTTTTTAATCTATTTATTTTACAGAAGAAAAAGAATTCTATTAAGCTTATATTGCAAAGCTTTTTTAAAAAAATACATTATTTTTTTTCCAGTCAAGGATTCTCTATGGAGAGCTTATTAAAATGGTGTTTCTCTATGGAGAGCTTATTGAAATGGTGTATCTCTACTCTCAGAAAGGAGAATGTCTAACAGATTATGCAGAGACTAACAGATTATCCTCTCATAGAACACTGATACAAGAGAATAAAACAGGAGGTGGATGGAGGATTTAAGAAGCACATAAATGAATAAGATTTCCCACAAATTCAACCAGTCTGATCACGGATTGTGGTTTACAGGATGAAAAGTAGAGGACCCAGGATTGTACATCTTTTTAGATCCGCTCCCCATTCGTAATTCTTCACATACTGTCAGACACCGACTATGAATAAGATGTAGTCAAATCAAACTAAGGTGTAGTCAAATGAAAGTATTGAAAATGTGATTTTCTGATAGTATGAAATCTTTAAAAACTAATTTTCACAGACTGCAAAGTATCTACATGTAACTTTTGTACTTTTGTTTTGACCAGTTCATATTGAAATGAAGACAGTTGTTATGTATGAGATTTGTGTAATCACCTAACGGTAATTCGGGAATGTTTTTGCATTTAAAGTAAAAAAAAAAAAAAAAGTATTATTATTTACGAAGTGAAATACTTAATACTTTTGATTACCATATTATTTAATTAAAACAAACGTTGATTAAATCTATTTCAGAAATTTTCAACGTACTTTGTACTTTTTTTTGCTAGAAATAAACTTCCGTAACGATAAACTTCCGTAACGATATTTTCCCCGAAGTTTTTATAAATACCAGATTTGTGCCAAACTTCAAAAATAGTGTTATGCCGTTCTATATTCAACTCAGAAAACAAAAAATGGCTTAAATTCAGGTTTATTTAAAAATAGTGATTCCTGTTTAAGCATTAACTTCCTAAACATTGCCTTATGACCTCTGGTATATCGAAATTTTTGGGAAAAGTTAACGAAACAAGATTTGAGGATATTTTTTTTTCAAGTGCACAGATGTGTCTTTTAGAGAATTATATTGTTCAAGTGCCTAACTGAAGCATTTAAAATATATATATATATATATATATATATATATATATATATATATATATATATATATATATATATATATATATATATATATATATATATATATATATATATATATATATATATATATATATATATTATGTTATATTTACCCTGAATTGGTCCTTTTGTCAGGTAAGTCAGGCATGGGTGACAAAGGAACAATAAATGACCTATTTTTACAAACAATTTCTTGCCCCAACAATGATTCCCAACACCCTTGTTATTCTTTTCGGCATTTTTGAAAAAAAATGCATTTGGATAAAATGACACTCGCATCTCGAGCACTGCATACAGGTATATCACTTGAGACCTCAGCAAAGTGTCAAGATTAAAAGTACATTTATAAATGCAGAAGTCTACTCATCAAGACTGTGTCTTAGAGAAAAAAAATTAAGAGATCAAATCCATAAATCCAATCAAACTAAAGTAACAAGATGTGTTTGTGAAACATTGATGCCATGGCGGCTCCTGGTGAAGGTTAAAGTTTTTCAAAAGTAGATCAAACTTTAAGGTAAATGTCAAAGGTTCAAAATTATTAGTACCTAAGGAAAGGTCTTGTCAAAAGGAATACACCTGTGAAACAAAACCCTAGCACCAACCATTAAAAAGTTATGGCCAAGGTAGGTCAAAAGTAGGTCAAACTAAAGGTCAAAGTCAAAGGGTCAAAATTCTTGGGATCAAAAACAAGTTCTTGTCACAAGAAATGTATCTCTGAAATATGAACATCCCATCACCAACCGTTCAAAAGTCATGGCCAAGGTTAAAGTTTTTCAAAATGGGGTCGAACTCCAAGGTCAATGTCAAAATTGTTGATCAATATCAAATGGAAGGCCTTGCCAAAAAGAATACACGTGTGAAATATGAAAGCCCTAGCACTAATTGTTCAAAAGTTATGGGCAAGGTTAATGTTTTGCGGACAAACAGACGGACAGACAGAGCAAACACTATATGCCCCTGAATCTTTGATTATGAGGTCATTAAAAGCTAAAAATAAAGGATCAGTTGTTATACCGAGGTTGAAAAATCCAAGTGTGGTAGGTGTATCAAGAGGACACAACACGTACAGGGGCTCTTTACAATCAATTTGTCTTCTTTCAATGATCGTAGTTTTTAAAAATACTCGTGAACTGTACTCAACGGAAACCTTAAAACTTTTAAAACTACGATCATTCCCCGATCGATTGATGCCTAGAATATGAAATGTCACATTTGAGAAAAATTAAAACTAGACAAAAGAAAATGTGGTGTAGCGAAAATTCAGTGTCTTGATTTCTCTCTGGTGTAGTTTATAGTGTAGGGGTGATCAAAAAGAAAGAAGAAAAAATGATCGTGACGAGCCCCTGTGGACATAACAAAGCCTACTTGGCAAGTCAGTATCTGTCACATTGCCCTTATAAATCTATTCAATTTTTTGTCACTTTGATATGACAATTTAAAAACTTTTAAAATGAACAAGAGGTCCATGGGCCAAAACGCTCACTTGAGTCACTTTGGTACTGTTGTTCTTCATCAGATTTGTCCCCTATATACGAAAATATTCCTACGTAAAATTTTGATTCTGCGGCCACATCCTTATATACAGGGGTCACGATACAGTGTATGAATAAATTGAATCTACACTACCAGAGGATGCTTCAATATAAATATGACTAATCATGGCTTTGCTGTTCTTCAGAGAAGGTATTAAAATCTTTTCCTATAAATTCTGAAATATGAATAAATTCACAGTTTACACTACCTCAGGAAAATTTCACCTACGTTTCATCTTTCTGATCCAGTGGATCTTGAAAAAAAGATTCTTAAAGATTTTTCCTATATATTTAAATGTAAAACTTTGATTCCCTAATGTTGCCCCACCCTACCCCTGGAGGCCATGATTTGAAAAGTAATGCTACGTCAGGAAGATGCCATACCCCAGGGGGCCATGATTTGAACAATTTAGAATCTATACTACCTCATGAAGATTCCACTTAAGTTTCAGTTTTTCTGGCCCTGCGGTTCTTAAGACTTTTTAATGACCCCACCCTATTTTTATCTTTTCTTGATTATCTCCCCTTGGAAGGGGGCTTAGCCCTTTATTTTGACAATTTCATTTCCCCTTTACTCAAGGATGCTTTGTCCCAACTTTGGTTAAAATTGGTCCAGTGGTTCTTGAGAAGAAGTTGAAAATATGAAAAGTTTACAGACGGACGGACGGACAACGGGTGATCAGAAAAGTTCAATTGAGCTTTCAGCACAGGTGAGCTAAAAATGAAAGTTTTATTAATTTTATTTTTGTAATCATACATATTGAGTTGTTTTGAAAATAAGTTTCCTTGTGTCATCGGCCCTTACAGTGTTCGTCAAATGTCAAATGAGAGCTAACCGTCAGGAGCCGCCTACATAATTATTATATTTTTTATTGCTACAGCGCTCCGTATGAAAACATCCGTGACAACAATGTCATCGGACTCAGGTGAGCTCTGACTCTGTTAATTGTGATTTAAAGCTTTGATATCGATTAAATTGTGAAAAACTAATCATGTTACAATAGGTGGGTTAAAAATTTTTAATATACCAAGCAAATAATATAATTTGAAACTTAAATGCACTTTATGAATGACAATGACAATGTTAGTTTCCTTTTGGTAAATTACAATCAGGAACTACATTTTGGAAGCTTTCCATATCAACCATTGAGCTCGAAAAAATACGATTGTCTCTCTAAACATTATTCATCCTTCAAAAATGTTGTGTGATTTGTATTCATCTTATATAAACAGCTGTTAAAAATACTCGTAAAGGTTATTCTTTACTAATATTGTGCAAAAGAGAAGTATGGCGATGCGGTATTGCAAACATTCTTTTTTAAAAGCTTTAAAATAAATTTATTTTTATTACTGTCACTAACAGCAGTATCAATGTGTAGAATACCGTAAGTTAGGCAGGGATCTGATATTTTGTAAATGTATTGCTTGTAATGAGTGCTTTAATTTGTTTTCATCTCATGTATTCTTAATGAATGACACAATTAAGGTATTCGATATGTGGGTTCTGGATAAGTCAAAGAACGACAACACACCAAAAGGCCGATACAATTCACAGAAAATCAACTAATTGAAAGTAAAACTCACCACCATATGAGGTGCCATTTTGGATTTATTGCCATTTAAGCTGTTTAGCAATATCACCTACTGGATATCACCAATCTGAATTGGTGATATCACCAATTTGCATTTCTTACAACATTAAATAAATGAATGGTCCCTTCTTCAGGACAATCTAGCTTCAATGCAAAGTATAGGATGACATTTTAAAAGAGCAATTTTATTTTCTTAGCAATTAGCATTGATTCAAAATTGAGGATATTGACTTCAATGCAAAGGATGAAATTTTTTAAAAAGTGCAATCTTATTTTCTTGGCATTGATTCAACATGACTTCGTTACTCGTATTCAATAAACAAACTTTTTTAAAAAAGATTATAAAAGTTTCTCTGGACTTTTTGAACTTTATTTAAGCCACATTCTCAACTATTTCTGCATTGCATTGATTGAATAAACTGAAGATTCACTGTAAGATCAGATTTTTGGGCATAAAGACAGCAAACGGAGGGGGACATAAGTTATAAGTATGCAAAAAAAGGTCCATAGAACAACTAAAAATACATATGAAAAAAATAGACTTCGATTGACCCTAAGCAAATCCTTTTCCCCTGTGTTAGACAAAATTTAAAACACCATATCTTATCTATCCCTGTGAAGTTATATATATTTTACTCACTGTCAGTTTTGCTATATTTATCAATACTTTCTCTCTGTTATTTACTTCCTGTATATATGCAGTACATGTTTAGTCTTGGGAGCAGTTGTTATTTCATACATAGTTTGAATAGGTGATATCACCTATTCAAGTAAGTGATATCCCCTATTTAAAATGAATATATAGGTGATGTCACCTTTTCAAAATGAATAGGTGATATCACATATTCCAATTGGTGATATCACCTATTCAAATTGGTGATGTCACCCATTTGATTTGAATAGGTGATATCACCTATTTTGTAATTAATTTCATTTTTAGGAGGATTTAATTGCATTTTCCGTTTTTCCAATCATGACAAGGAGCACACGGAGATGAATACTCCTCCATGGCCTCTGAACCCACCGGTGATGTTTAGCGGTCCATTTTTGCTCCGCCCCAAATTTGCATTGTTTCTTAATAATGATCTTGATTACTGTTATCTTCATATTTCACAATTTTAATGTTATTATATTATTGATAGGAATACTTCACTTAATGATAATTAAGTGTAATCTCACAAAATTGGTGAGATTTTAGAACTATTGAAAATTTAAGACTTAGTCATAAGTTCTTTTGTAAAATGCTGTCCTGTTTATTTCCAATTTATATTGTTTATTAATCTATTGCAGAAGACTCCGATACTCCATGTTTCAAATTACTACAATCGCTCAAGAGAAAAGAAACAGTTTCTGCAGCACCATCAAGCCAAAGTCTCATTCGTCGTGTGAAAGACAGATTTAAGGAAACTATTATAACCGTGAAGGGCACAACACTTGACTTAGGACAACTTAGTATATCCGAAATTGAAAAACTGTGTCATGAATGTCCAGATGCTAATCTTGTCCAGAAAATTTCCCTCCACCAGACTAACTTAACGTACATATCAGGATCACTAGGAAAATTTAGAAATCTTGTTCATCTGGACTTCAGTAACAACAGAGTAAAATTTATATCTTGCCAACTGGCAGAGTTGACAAATTTAAAAATTCTTGATCTATCAAACAATGAAATTGAAGATATTCCTTTGACAGTTTTCTTAATAGCATCACTCAGGATTTTAAACTTGGAACAAAATCAAATAAGATATTTGCCAACAGAACTTTTGGAGTTGGAAAATTTGGAAGTATTGAAATTGTCAAAAAATCCCATTCTTTCACCTCCACAAGAAGTCTGTATATTAGGTTTGGATGCTATTTTTGGGGCACTTCTTGATCAAAAAGCAAAAACAGATCTTCTACACAATTGGAAGCCATACTATTCAGCACATCAAGTAAAACTGATGCCTTTGTTTAAACTGTGTGTGGAGAGCATTTTATGTCACAGACTAGACTTTACCTCCATGGATACTATACCTACATCTATAAAGAAATATCTGACTTTAGCCAAGTCGTCCAGTGAGAGCCGATTACCTCCCCTGCAGAAGTGTGGCAGGTGCTTTGCTTACTTCAGCCAGAAACACCTATTTCTTAATCATGAATGCAAACCAAAACAAGGCAAACAATAGTAAACATTTCTGATGTGGTAAAGAAATTTTAAAAAGCAAACATTGTCTGCTACTTCTGAACATACTAATTATAATTTTATCATATATTTTCCACTGACATAGAAGTTAAATATTTATATAGCATTATCAAGACTCTTGAAGTGAGAATACTCTAAAATCTAGGAAATGAAATATATTTCAGTATTATGCAATCATTACATGTGTTTTATTAAAAAAGAATCATAATTGCACTGAAAATTTCATTTCATAGTTATGGTTTACCAGAAAGACTAGTTATTACCAGATGTTATCATAATATGTTAATGCTTATAGTGTATGTGTACTTAAAAAACAGGCTTCATATTTTAGCAACTTTGGCGCAGACAATGATGTGCTAATTCATGAATACCACTATAAGAAATCATTTATATATGGCACAGACATGTATAGCGCTAATTCATGATTTCATCAACAACTCCATACCCAGTGATTGCGCTAAATTTTGAATACACCAATTTATGTACACATACAGTATATCTATAGACCCCAGATTTAATCTAGGGCAAATATGAATATTTTTCTTCAAATGCGTGCCAACAGTATTCATGTAAACTTTCACAAAAACAGTTATCAATCTTATAAATACCCATTAAAATGGACACAAATTCATTTTTTTTTTAATATTCTTGTCCTTAGCTATCCTCTCTCTTTTCCTGGTCAACAGATCTACTTTGAATATCACCAACTTCTTTGGCACAATGCAATTTCATTATGCAAGCATAGCCTGATTTTATACCAGCATGCATATGACTGCTAATGACAAAACATTGTCTAATGTAAATATGACCCAAAAAGAAAAATAAACATAATATATTACTCATTTTAATATTTGATAACAAGTGCATCAAAATCATAATTCATACTTCAAGTTTCCATATGTCCACATAATTAAAGCCAACAAACGGCAAACAAAACATCACTACTACTTTTTAATATTTCAGTGTTATAATTTGCAAATCATAATTTATATTTAAATTTCCCTTTTTTAATGTCTACATGCATGTAACCGAAGCCAAGAAATGGCAAACAATACCACACTACTACTATTTTAAATTTTGTTGTTATTTGCAAACAATACTGCACCTTGAATAGTTATGAATATTTATTAAAAAATTTATGGAAAGAAAAATTTTTAATATGACTTGTTGTATGTTAACAGTCAATATCTTTTTAAGAAGAAACATGTGTTCACCTTGATGTGTTACTCATTTTGGTACAAAAAATTTATAATAATATAATGAAGAGTAAAATTTTGTTCATTCTATACTGAAACATTATGGCATAAAAAATTTAATTTCTTTATCATTATTGAACACAAAACAAACATTAGACTAGTTAAAGAAGACAAGATGTGTTTCTTTCAATTAAAGGGAAAAAAACTAAATCAAATTCTGTGATAAGAGAATACATTTGATGTGAAAGCAGTGTTAAATGTGTTCAACTTAAAAAAAACTTAAATACTTGTTTGTGTTTAATTTTGAAATACATGTTCAAAATAAATTTTACTAGACATACTTTTCTCAGATCATTTTACCCAATATCAAAAGTGTAAAATCTGGGCTGTTAATCAAACTCTTAGAATTTTAGTATCTAAACAACAAATAGTAATTATTATAAAATGATTTGTCTTGCACAAGCAACTACTTCTGAAAAACTGCACTCTCCTGTTTTTCTTTTTAAAAAAAATCATACTAATCTAATTCTGGAAAAATCTATATCTATATACTCTTACTCCACTGCTCAAAACATTAATTCCATTCTTAAATACATATTTTAGCTTGAGTGACATTTCATTTTTAGAATAATACATATTTTTTTTAAATGCCATCAAAAACAAAAAATCAAAGTTATGACTCCTACCTGGGGTAAATTTGTTAAAATTTGTCATACAGTTTGACAGGGTGTATTTTTCCATGCATAATGTACTTACTATTAAATGCATGCAGTATTCTTTTATAAATAATTTTTAAAAAAATGAAGTACACACCTCTAAATGTATGCTTATGGCAACTTGTTGCATATGTTCCAGAGCACACAAGCTTTCTCATAATGGTATATTATTGCAAAATTTGAAAATATTCATTTGTAAATAATGCACACATATTTTTTCAAATGCCATTAAAAATTTAAAAAAATCAAAAGTTATGACTCCTTTCTGGGGTAAATTTGTTTAAATTTGTCATCACAATTTGACAGGGTTTACTTTTCCAAGACAAATACTGTTTTTGTATCATTTCTTTCAAGTATAGACTCTCATAATATTGAATTATGTCTAAGAAAAAACATACAAACATGGGATAAATACATGTATTTTTAACTCAACCAGGGAAAAAAGTGAATGTCATACTTTTTTTCTTGACTGTTCTATAAATGCTTTATTACTTTGCTATAATAAGTTTTCTAAAAGTTAAAAAAAAATAGGGGGAAAAAAACTCATAAATCTTAAATTCCTATTAGAAAAAAATATATGGTATCCTTTTTATTTTACAAGACTTATTTTATAGCATTTGAATGGCTTTCTTGAAACCAAATCTGTAAAAGTTCCAAGACTGATTGGATTTCTAAATATCAAACAGTTTATTCTCATGTTAAAATAACACACTTCATAGAAAAGATTCAGGTGTGACATACATGTACATACACTGTAAATGTCATTAGTACAACAGATTATGGATTGCTTCACCCTCCCTCTCTTAAATATTGTTATTCATTAATAAACCTTTTTGTTCATGCTGTAAAAAACAGTAAAGTTGAGGGAATTGTCTTTCATCTCGGTAGTGCATGTACTTAGGAGGTACATATAGGTACATAATTGACCCCTGTCTAGAACTGAAGCTGTTACTGTAGATACTTAAGTGTCTAAGTTTTCAACCTTAGTTATAAAATTTTAACTTGACTCGTGTGGCAGTTGATATTTTTACCAGCATACAAGATAAAGGTACATGTATACATGTATGTTTTACAGATAAACTGTGATTACTACTTTCAACTTTCATAGATAATAACACATCTAACACACACAGGTACTTGCAAAAAATAATTATGCATACACACAATTTGTAAAAATACACAGATAACATCAGTCTATGACTACCCAGACTTAGGTACATGGACACCGAAAAAATAATGCCTAATACAGATCAAGAGCTCATTCAACATTTCGTTTGCAACATCAAAATAAAAAAAAAGCACCAAAATGAACACATTGCAGAAGAAAGAGGCATACTTGAAAGGAAAATACTGATCATAATCAAAAAAACAATTATAATCACCGCATGTAGGTCACATGACCCTGTCAGCCTAAGGCACACGGCCTTAATTAGCAACCTCTTAATGAAGTTGATTTTGCAATTAATTTTAAATAAACAAGAGTAATATTCATGTCGGAGTACTATGATTTAGCTGACTTAGAGCTACGTTTAAGTTTCACAGTGATTGTCACAACTTTGTTGCAAATAAAAAATAATCTGGTGGCCCATCAATATCAGAACAGAATTGTTCCATAACAAATTATCTTAAAAACAGATTACTTGTTCAGAAAGGGCTCCACAGATCTTCTAAACATGACACAAGTACAATGCACTGGTGTCCTACATGTTGAATGGACACCCAGTAAAATGTCTAAATTCACAAGGATGTGGGGACATGAGTTATGACAATAAATACGACGTGGCATGTAATCTCACTGCTGAGGTTGCTTTTAACTTGGCTCGGACGATGTGAGGTGAGTAGAATTTGATCACAACACAAGGAGGCAACAGAGTAAAAGCAGGGGATCACAGCTAGCTCTTGAGGAGGGGGGACTAGTCGCAGTTTTGAACTTCATACGAGGGACTAGCTATCTAGGGTCTCATCTATACAGTCGGGCAAAGTCTCTCAATGCTTGGGACACCTCCTTGTAATTCTCTGCACTGTGATTAAAATAAAATTACACTTTAGATAATAATGTTCATCAGTAAAAACTCTGTATAACATATCATTAATGTGCAATTTTAAATTTTTCTCTGTTTTTGTAAAGCTTTGCAAAATTATTCCATCAAATACAACATACACGTTTTCTTCCATTTCATTAACATGTACCTGTTGACTGCTCTGTGGTAAGTCAGTCAGTTGTTCATGTTTATTTTGTGGTAAAGTTACCTAGTGACCACTTTGTGGAAGTCGGTCAGTTGTTTGTGTGTGGTTTTGTGGTAAAGTTACCTGGTGACTTCTTTATGGAAGTCAGTCAGTTGTTTGTGTGTGGTTTGTAGTAAAGTTACCTTATGAATGCTTTGTGGAAATCGGTTGTTTGTGTGTGGCTTTGTGGTAATGTTACCTAGTGACTGCTTTGTGGAAGTCAGTCAGTTGTTTGTGTGTGTTTTTATGGTATAGTTACCTGGTGATGGCTTTGTGGAAGTCAGTCAGTTTTTTTTGTGTGGTTTTGTGGTATAGTTACCTGGTGACGGCTTTGTGGAGTCAGTAAGTTGTTTTTGTGTGGTTTTGTGGTATAGTTACCTGTTAACAGCTTTGTGGAGTCAGTAAGTTGTTTTTGTGTGGTTTTGTGGTATAGTTACCTGGTGACGGCCTTATGGAAGTCAGTCAGTTGTTTGTGTGTGTTTTTGTGGTACAGTTACCTGGTGACGGCTTTATGGAAGTCAGTCAGTTGTTTTTGTGTGATTTTGTGGTATAGTTACCTGGAAACGGATTTATGGAAGTCAGTCAGTTGTTTTTGTGTGGTTTTGTGGTATAGTTACCTGGTGACGGCCTTATGGAAGTCAGTCAGTTGTTTGTGTGTGTTTTTGTGGTACAGTTACCTGGTGACGGCTTTATGGAAGTCAGTCAGTTGTTTGTGTGTGTTTTTGTGGTACAGTTACCTGGTGACGGCTTTATGGAAGTCAGTCAGTTGTTTTTGTGTGGTTTTGTGGTATAGTTACCTGGTGACAGCTTTGTGGAAGTCAGTCTGTTGTTTTTGTGTGATTTTGTGGTATAGTTACCTGGAAACGGATTTATGGAAGTCAGTCAGTTGTTTTTGTGTGGTTTTGTGGTATAGTTACCTGGTGACGGCTTTATGGAAGTCAGTCAGTTGTTTTTGTGTGGTTTTGTGGTATAGTTACCTGGTGACGGCTTTATGGAAGTCAGTCAGTTGTTTATGTGTTGCTGTCACAGCACCACCACTACTGGATGTTGGCAGGGCCTTCAACGTTGTCTCCAACCAGCGACAAAACATCTACAACAATTATTTATCATTTATCTCCAAAGGAAAATTATATGACAAATGGAAAACGAAATACGATTTTATATAAAACAATTGAATATACATGTATATGCTAAAAAGAAAAAAAATATTTTCGCATGCATGTTTTTAAACTTTGAACTGTCCATGAAAAATAAAAACTGGGATGAATAGTTATAAAAAAAACTTGATGGAACAAATTGAAAAGGCACTATGAATACTTACTGGTCTGTCTATTTTCATAATTTCAAATATAACTTCTCCAAAATCTGTTGTCATGAAAGTTGGTAAACAAAATATGCAAGCATTGATTAATGCATGAACTAAGGCTTGTCCATGGTCATTTAGAAGGGTCTTAACTGCCTTTTGTCTTAACGGAAAATCATCCTTCTCCTGAAAATAAACATACACGCAAATGCTATTCAATGAATCACATACACATTTAAGCCACATATTTGTTATAAGAAACAGCAATTAGTGTATGACTTTTCGAAGCTGATTTTATTTTTTATGCACAATGAAGAGAAAACCAGATTTTGTAGAAAACTGGTTTTGTCTTAAACATGCAACGTTTAAAGACCAAAGTCAAGGTTACATGAGATAATATAAACTCTGTATACTTAAGACATTTAAAAATGTCAAATTCTCCTATAATTCACTAAAATTTATAAACAAAGAGGAGTCAAAAATCAATGTCAAGAGACCAGATGTATAAAAAAATTTTAAAATACAGCTTACGTCTTTCTTTGTTGCACACGTTAAGAAGTCTGATAAATACTTCATCACTGAAGCATTGGCTTCTTTATGGTCCAGTGAACAAGCAGCTATTGCACATCGAAGGATAGGCTCTACCATTCCACATTGTATGTATGCCACCGGTGCCTGCTGTATAAATCTGTCAAAGAAATAAATGTATATCATAAATATGTAAACGTATAAAGCCGTATATCTATCAGCCTTAAAATCTTCTTTAACAATAAGTTACATTTTGTATCTAAAAACCAAATATTTAAAAAAAAATTCTTGCTACTTTCATTTTCAAATAAAATTGTCAATCAATAAGATATTAAAAGTAATTCCTCTATTCTTTAGCCAATCAAGAAAAAAATTATTCTTATTCCTAAGAGGGAGATAATAGTTACCTTAAACACAGTCTAAATAGATCATCTACAGTGTCAGGATGGTTTCTTAGACCATTGTGTTCTTCTAATAATTTAAATGTTGGCACACAGAAAGCCTGAAAGATTTGAAAATAATCCATTAACTACATGTAGGAATTATATATACACTCAGGTCTCTTGTCTTAAATTTTCTGAAACAGTCAGTAGTTAAGGTACATTTACATTAAATATATTAAAAAAAATTTGAAGGGTGTATTTAATTTCATATTGTCGTCAGTGTTGATTTTTAAATGTAATGTATAAGAAAGCTACAGATTTACTGCTTAGACAATGTTCATTACAGAGCAAACCCCTTCCACAGTCATACTTGGTTTTGTATTTATAGATAGGGATTCAGAACATGTACTATATTTATACAGTGTACCTCTAACATGTGTAAAAGTCCAGGCTGACAGGAAGCCTCCATTCCATATTCGTCCACTAAAATACTGCCCAGATACAGGAAACACGAGTGCTGATGGGCCTGGTATAATGTGACCATCTGAAACATAAGACTACTATATATTCATTGTATACTTAAAATATACAATAATGTCCATTGTTTTTGCATTTTTTTCCCCTTAAAATTACATTTTCATTCAAAGATGCCTTCAGCTTATATCATAAGTAAAGTGTTCAACATTTCAAAAATGTGTCTGATGTTCTACTACATGTAACACCAGAAAATACATGGTCAATTATATTATATATATACAGTTAAACATCATTGTCTAGAACATCCATATCTTGAATAGCATGGATATATCGTAGTGAGTTGAAAGACATAATGACTTTTTGTTTACGGACAGTGTATTTTAACTGCAACATCTCAAATTATTGGATATCTCAAAGTTGTTCTCTGTCCAACTGCCTTTGAGATAACATGGTTTTACTGTAGTTCTGCGTTTTTCACAATTATGAACTAAACCAAAATTTTTTTTCTCTGAAGATCCTGCAGATTATCACTTCTTTTTTCCCTGTGATGGTCACTTGCTTCCCTTACCTGACTAACGAGTGGGGTAAGTAGATCTGCTGACTGCCGTCCTAAACACCGGATTGCAAACCGAATACATCGACAGCACCTCTCGGTGATTCGGACATCCCCCTGATACTTATCACAAGCTTGAGAGAGAACTGGCCAAACCTGCTGAAAGAGGAAAATACACCCGTCAAAAATTATCTTACAGATAACATAATCACAGAAGAATTTATTACTCTGGGAAAAACTACACTTTATATTCAGAAGTACAGTACAGTAGGTCTTTCTGGGCAATTTAGTGATGAAAAGTCACTCAGCACAGGTTTCAAAAGGCATTGATTACACAGATACTATAAACATGATTTAATCTTTAATTAACACCTAAACTTATCTATACTAAATCATGGGATTTAACATTACATCAAGGTTCTATGACCAACTTAAATAACAAACCTCTTGTATAACTGGTTTACAGGGATGAACTTGACCATTTGATACTTTGGGATTCACATATCTAAAACAAATTCAAAACACTGACAATCACTATATACACATGTATGTCTTAACAAACATAAGATCAATATCTCAAATTTTTGGTAAAAAAAAAAAAATCCATTGAAATGCAAATTAAGTGCAAAACGTGTTAAACTAAATGTATGTGAAAATGATCCCTATCACAATTTGAATGATAAATCATGACTTAGATGGAAAATGTGGCTCTTTACCTGAAGATAGCTGCAAGACGATCTAGCCACTTTGTGGGATCGTGAGGGCTACCCTGTTTTGGATTATTAACTGGTTCTGCTATTAACTGAAAAATGTAAAATTGTTTTATATGCCATCTGTAGGATACACACATGTATACCATGTAATTGTACGACGTTTTCTAAAAAAAAAATTATCATGATTTAGCTTAAATGGTAAATTAATGTAGAAAGATAGGAAAAGAGAATTATCTTTATGTTGATGAAATAAATGTATATGTACAGTTAAACTTCGTTATCTCGAAGTTGACGGGACCGTTGATGAACTTCGAGATATCCGGGGGTTCGACATATCGAGGGTTATAATTCAAATGAACTTCAAATAAACTTAGTGAAGTGAACATGTACTTCATAGTAAAAACATGTCAAATTCCTTCTTGTTTGAAATTCTGTATACGATTTCTTTAATAAACATGTACATGTGTTTAGCAATAAAAAGATTTTTACATCCTCTTTATAATCCATAAGATAAAAAAACTTTGTATAATATGCACATAAGTATGATCTTTCTACCAACGCGGCATGTCAACAGCTAGCATCGTTTCCCATGTATACGTAACCGGATATCGCCTATGCATTGTAAATTTAAAACCGGTCGCTGTCAGAATAACGAAAACGAAATATACATTTTCTTTTATAAGAAAAACATGTTCATACATGTATAATCAGTTAAAAGAAAATTATTTTAACCATAATAAAATCAAATGCAAAAGAAAAATCACACACTTTTGTCTAACAACAGAACAACACTGAATCACAGGACACTAGTTTTTACTGCGACACATGCTCACATGATGGTGTGTACGGACGATTGTAAATTCTGCACGCTCATATAGGAAAAATAAATTCTAATTGCATTAAATTACAAGAATTTTGTTTTACTTCGATGTTTATGATTTTCACTTTCATATGTATAAACTATGTATGCCCGCATATTTCACATAGCATTAAATAGCGATTATCAAGATAAACGTACCCAAGCCACATAACAACGTGTCATCCACGTGTCATCCACGCGTATGCATTAGACCAATACACACAACCTTGGCTTGCATAATTAAAATCAGGGTAAGCCATACATACACTTCATATAATTATCGCGCTATTATTTGTTGATCACAGGAACACAGGTAACCCGTGCGTGACAGACAGGTGGGTGTTATCAATAGAGCGTCCAGTTTACCTAACGGACTTGATCATCAGTGCGGAAAATTATCCTGACTTCGAGATAACGCATGTGATTTTAATGAATGGGTACACAACTTTACTTCGAGATAACCGGGGTATTCGACATTACTGTGTTCGACATAGAGGGGTTTATTTTAATCATTTATAAAGCAAATTTCGTCGGGACCGCGGCCTTACTTCGACATATCCGGGGTATTCGAGATATCCGTGTTCGAGATTTCGAAGTTTAGCTGTATATTGAAGTAAATGTCTTACTTTTGATAGAGGTAGTAATTGAAATGTACATAGTTGTCGTAAACCATCTGCAATCTTATCATGTGGAAATTGTGCTAAAATTGTTGCTGTTCCTTCAAAGATGAAAGAAAGGTTTTTATAAACAAAGTTAGGACACATCAGAAAATTGAATACCACTGTTAAATTAATTAGAGTTCATTTAAACAATGCATTATTTCATGTATATTTCGATTTTATTCCTAAACATATGCACTTATTCTTGCAAGAGGAGTAAATACAGTAAGCAGTTATAGCAAAGTTCTTGGGACCTGTGAATTTACTTATTAGATACATGTATTTCCCTAACTTGTTGTATCTGTATAATGAATTCTTTAAAACAAATATAAGTGAATTAGCAATATACACATTTTCTTTCAAATTTGACTACTATTTGAATAAATTTTTTAGATCGTAAAAATTCACAAGAGATGTAAATTTCGTTATTTTTAACTTTATGTGACAAGAAATCAGTTCAATTTGTTATATCAGAGTTCGTTATAACCATAAATTTAACAATGAATGTTGTTAAGAATTTTGCCAGGGGTCCCAAAAAACTTTGCTATATATCCATAAATTCACTATATCTGTGTTTGTACTATATGGGTTTTACATGTATCTATTTCAGAAAAAAAATCACCTTTAAGAAGACCAATAGCAGCATCATTGGAGAGCTGGAAAGTTTCCAGAGCCGACACAATTTGCACCAAGCCCTGGAAATGGTTGACCATTTGTTCTCGACACGTTGTTGAAATGCTCTGTAATGAATTGGCTGCTGCTGTTGACAGAGTTTTTTCCTGCAGGCCAGCTAACAGAAATTGTAGAATGGGATCTGAAAAAACAACATTCCAATGAGCAATCATTTCCCTATGTATTGTCAATACATCATCTTTCAAATGGATTGTAAGCCTAAAAAAATCTTGTAAAAAGTATTCTACATGTAAATGTCCTAAGTTTGGAGTCCCTTGACCATATTAACATAGTCTGGAAACCTCAGAGGACTTCCTGAAACACCTTTTTATATTCTACTGTAGCACACATAGATATGTTGAACAGTGCTTCAAGTTATGAGAAGTAAAAAGTTTACCTAGGAATTCTGGATGTTTTTCTGCCCATTCGCACAGCTCTCCAAACAGTTTGATACTTGTGTACCTTATGGCCAGGTGAGCTGTATGGGGCATGGACAGAACAGCTTTTACAACCTGTGGTACAATGTCATTTTCATCCCTAAAAAATGTATACAGACAATATTTAATACCTTGTGAAATAAATGCATGATTATACATACCGTATACCATAAATTAAAAAAAACATACAGAAGTTAAAGTAGATGACACATTTGCACTTGCTAAGTTAATGATAGTTTAACTGTAATTTTGATTAATCATATCCATTCAGTTCACAATATCTTTAAAACCACAGGGAATAAAAATCACTTTGCTATAAGTGTGAATTCATTACATATATAAGCATTTTTGCTGTGTGTGTGTTTTTCTGTATTATCTGGTTTGTCATTACTTAAAATCATTCCCTGTCCTCATAGCATACGGTCATTATTTACTGAGATTTGTCATTACTTACTGAGATTTGTTGTTACTTACTGAGATTTGTCATTGCTTACTGAGATTTGTCATTACTTACTTAGATTTGTCATTACTCACTGAGATTCGTCATTACTCACTGAGATTTGTCATTACTCACTGAGATTTGTCATTGTTTACTGAGATTTGTCATTGCTTACTGAGATTTGTCATTACTCACTGAGATTTGTCATTGCTTACTGAGATTTGTCATTACTCACTGAGATTTGTCATTACTTACTGAGATTTGTCATTACTCACTGAAATTTGTCATTGCTTACTGAGATTTGTCATTACTTACTGAGATTTGTCATTACTCACTGAGATTCGTCATTACTCACTGAGATTTGTCATTGCTTACTGAGATTTGTCATTACTCACTGAGATTTGTCATTACTTACTGAGATTTGTCGTTACTTACTGAGATTTGTCATTACTTACTGAGATTTGTCATTACTTTAATGAGGTTTGTCATAACTTACTGAGATTTGTCATTACTCACTGAGATTTGTTTTTACTTACTGAGATTTGTCATTACTTACTGAGATTTGCCATTACTTACTGAGATTTGTCATTACTTACAGAGATTTGTCATTACTTACTGAGATTTTTCATAACTTACTGAGATTTGTCATTACTCATTGAGATTTGTTTTTACTTACCGAGAATTGTCATTACTCAGAGATTCTTCGTTACTTACTGAGATTTGTCATTACTCACTGAGATTTATTGTTACTTACTGAGATTTGTTTTTACTTACTGAGATTTGTCATTACTCATTGAGATTTGTTGTTACTTACTGAGATTTGTTGTTACTTACTGAGATTTTTCATTACTCATTGAGATTTGTTGTTACTTACTGAGATTTGTCATTACTAATTCAGATTTCTCTTTACTCACTGAGATTTGTTGTTACTTACTGAGATCTGTCATTACTCACACTTAGATTTGTCATTACTCACACTTAGATTTGTCATTACTCATTGAGATTTGTTGTTACTTACTGAGATTTGTCATTACTTACTGAGATTTGTCATTACTTACTGAAATTTGTCGTTACTTACGGTAAGAGATTTTTGGCCACAGCTGTCATAACAAACAAGGAAGCTTCTATCACGTCCCATGATGTATTCTCAGTCTGATTTTTAATATTCTCAAACATCTATCAAAATAAAAATTACAATACAAGTCCAATACATGATAGACATTTTCATTTCTTATTTTCAAAAGTACTTCTTTCAAATCATTCATATTGGAGATTACCTATGCATTAAAATTTCATTGCTGAAAGTCATTGAAATATATTTACATTTCCAATAAATTTCCCCTATGATTCTTTACAAAATAGAATACAGTTCATTTTCTCATGAACTACCATGAATGAGCATGAATATCTCCATTGTTACGTCATAATACCTTGCTTGACGTCAAAACTATAGTGCAGACTGTTTTGCTTTAAAAATGACAGTTGAATGGTGTTATTTGTGGCAAATCATCAGAAAAATAATGTAAATATAAGAAATGAATTTCATTTTTGAAAATTCATGAGGTACATGAACTACAACGCTTCACGCCGGCATATTTACCATGAATGAGCATGAATATCTCCATTGTTACGTCATAATACCTTGCTTGACGTCAAAACTATAGTGCAGACTGTTTTGCTTTAAAAATGACAGTTGAATGGTGTTATTTGTGGCAAATCATCAGAAAAATAATGTAAATATAAGAAATGAATTTCATTTTTGAAAATTCATGAGGTACATGAACTACAACGCTTCACGCCGGCATATTTATCATGAAGCGCTAACGCGCTTCATGAAATATGCCGGCGTGAAGCGTCGTAGTTCATGTCCTCATGAATCTTCAAAAATGAAATTCATTTCTTAAATGAACTAGTAGTAAAGCTTTCTAGTACTGGTGCCAAATAAAGTTTCTGAAAGGTTATATGCCAGCTTTGGCTACTATTGTACCACAGAATACTTTTATAAATGATAACTAACCTGAGTAAAACATTGTGAAGATCCAACAATAAATACAACATCTTTGATTAATTCTGAAACTCTTAATCGAAATTCTCCAAAATCATCATTCTCATCAGGTATCCCTTCCTGCAAAACAGAGATTTCCTGTATTACTCAAGAGAACTGTATCACTGAAGATAACTTTTAATTTATAATTAATAGCAAAATGCAAAGGGATGCTCAATTGCTGCATAATTGACATAATACATGAACAACATACTGTAAAATTGACTTGATACAAGAAAATTTAAATGAGAATCAATTTTCGCAGTAGCCAATTTAAATATGATATTTGTCATACGTACATGGTCTGGTTCAATTTGACAGTGCCGACAAAGTGCTACGATTAATCTCTGTATATAGGGTTTAAATACATCCGTGATCTCTTGTACACTTCTTTGATATAATTCCTCTGACAGTCTGTACCAAAAATTAAATGAGATTTCTCCAACCTAAAGAATAATCCAACATACATGTAAATTCAGCAGCTACAATCAAGGATATTTTTCACTTAAAATCATCATCACATTTTAAATACAGACATGTCTTATTCCCAAGTACTTTAGATATCAAAAAGAGAATTTAAACAGACTTTGTGTTCTTTCCAATCATAAGACTTAACTGAAAATATTTACAAAATTATTTTCAAGGACGTAAAAAATTGGTCATTATTCGGTTTAAAAGTAATAGTGAAATATTATAGAGTTTATCATATGGAATCTTACCTCATATAAATGATGTCCAACACAGGTTAAAAGAAGTTCAAGTACACTTAGATCTCCAAGTCCCTGAAAAACATTTACATTTAAAAATTTACCTACCATGAAATTACGTAAATAAATTAAGTTTATAGTCTGTGAATTCTTATAGAATTGTAACAGGAAGATAATTCATAACATTGTTCACTTAAACCCTCAAAAAGTTAAGCTTTGACTTTGTGAAATTCTGAAAGACTGATATCAACCTACATGATTTGGAGTGGAAACCATTGGTTCCAAAAATGTCTCTGCCAGCTCTGTGAACACTCTACAGTAATTCATAGATCTAAAAATATAATAAATATCAACACTTAATTACACTTTCAACCCTTAAACAAGGATTCCTAAAGCTACATAAAATTGAAATGACAGTTCTCAGGCCCGCACACATCTGTTTTGAGGTAGCCGCATTCCATATTTTATCGTATTTTTGATAAGATAAAAAGTTGGTATTGCAGAGACCAATCCGAAAAAAAAGTTCCGCCCTCGTTTTCTCATAGTTTAGTACTCGAATATTGCTTCCAGTAGCCATTTTCAAAGAGAACTTGGCTTCTTCATTTAAAAATACACTTGAAGATAACGCCTACGATGTTCACACATTGATAAACAATGGATAATGCAAACCAATTGATCAGACATGGAAAGTATATCATGAACAAAGAATTTTTATCATAATTGTATAGGAAATTCAGGTATAAAAAATACCTCCCTCATCTACTTTATCGCCAATAAATGATTAAAAAAAAGCCTCCCACCCACATCTGTTTTGGAGAAAATTGGCCTGAGAACCAGAGAATTAAATTTATGTAGCCTAAACCTCCATATTATAGTATTTAATATACAATTTTAAATTATTTCAATAAATAGTTTCACTAAAATGACATGCATAACATTCTCTGGCAAAAAAGTAAAATGTTTACAACAATACTCTAAGCTACTTGAATAATACCAAGTTTTATTCACTTTTTGGATCTATTTCAGGAATGACATGCTTATCTGTATCCTATTTCAGGAGTGACCTACTTATCTGTATCCTCTGTGGCTACTGACATGTGATAGGGTTCCATGAGAGTGACCACTCCTTGATACAACTTCTGGGACAACTGTAACTGTTCCTGGTGAAAAATAAGGGAAAAAATGTGTCAAAGGAATTTTACTATTACTTTATAAACTACTTGTACTTTAGTCTCAGGAAGGATAAAACACACACAAAATATCAAATTATCATCAAATACAAACAAAAACAAATCTGATACATAAAAGTTTTCATAACAGCTAGCGTATTTTTTCTTACAACTGTGGATAATCAGACTAATTCTTACCTGACAGTTGTAACAGGAATACAGAGCAGAAACGATGCAGTCAGCAGCGGCTTCATGGAGCATATTGGGACAGCTAGTGTTGGCCTACAAACATATAGTGTCAGTAACTAATAATGTCTTTACTTTCTAGCTGCATTGTAAGTCAACTTCTTAAGGAAAAAGAGCTAGAAAATTTTAATGATAATAACACAAACCCACATACCATTGCATGAAAAGGTGCTGTCAGCAGTTTGCTGTTCACAATATCTGGTTCAGGAACAACATTAAGACTGAACCAACTACCGAGACACCGGAAAACCCGAATCTGGTTCTTCTCATCACAAGTTGTGTCTTCAATCACAGCTGTCTGTAAAACACAAAGACCAGCTTAACATTTTCTTTCTTTTTTTGAATTGGGAAAGAGGGAGTGGCTGACAGAGAGAATATACATGTAAGAATGCTAGATTTTAGAAATATTGGGTTTTTTTAACATCTTCTAAAATTCTTGAAGGTAAAAATATGTAGTTTTTATGCTAATTTTGATACAAATTACAATGTACTTCACACAGCGCTTTATGAAAATTAATCAAAGACAATGTGCAATACTGTATCTTGCAATTACCAAGATTATGTACTATAGAGGATAATCTAAGATCTTACCAACAATTGTAGCATCATGGGTGATGCCTTGAGTAATTCTTTAGTTATCTCTTCTCTTCTATTTGCACCCAGCCTTAATGATCTGCTGTTTACCTAAAGAGGGAAAAAAATAAAGGTGATTCAAGCATGTCTGCATTCAATCTACTGCCTTTGAAAATAAAAAAAAAGGTTTTTTTGCTTGTAACGACTGCAGAAGGTTATATAGAAGAAGACTTCAGTGAACAGTGCTATAGGATATGCATGTCTCAGCAGTTGAAAATTGTCTGGACAGCATTCCTCCTCGTGTAGATGTAAAGGTTACCAGTCAACAGGAGACATCAAAGGACCTTACCTCTTCTGGTAACACAGTAAGAACCTCTAACAAAAATGGAAGCTGGTGTTGGTTACTGCCGAATCTGTTAAATATTAATTGCTGAATTAGTACATGTTTATATATAATTGGGATAAAAAAAAGATCCTTAAGTTAAAGTCACAATGAAAATGGTTACAAGAAGAGGTACAAGTATTTAAACAGATTCCTTGTAGTAGAGTAAGTGGGGGGTTTTTATCCTTGCAAAAGTGATAATAAAAAAAAATAATGAAATCCTACTTATGAATAAGGTCTAATGCAGCATCTTTCCAGGAAGCCATTTGTAGAGCAAGATCAGCCAAGGCCAAACTCAACTAAATGGGAAAAAAAGAAGCATATATAAGTCTGATGCTTGTATACTGATAAGTCAAGTTTTCCAAAGGAAATTAAAATGAAAGCAATGTTTCTAAAATGTTGAAATGCCTACCTGAGTTACAATAACTGGCTGTGTTTCAGCATTAATTTTTCCAGCATGTTCTATCAAGGAATCTCTCAAAGACTGTCAAATAGAGGTAAGAAAGTGCAGAGTTGTTTTGGGTTTTTTGTATCAACATACACAAAGGTATTTAGATCATGAACTTTTTATTGTAAGTTGTAAGCATATAAATGTCTACATCATACTCAAAAGAGAAATGTATTAAGTTTATGTAGACAGCTTCATGACCAAAATCATCCTAATATCGTCAGGGGTCCTGAGTCCACTTGTGTCTATTGGACCCCTGACAAATTTCATTCAATATTCTATAGGCTTGCTTCTCTCATTGAGAAGCACCAATAATATCTAGGCTTTCATAAGTTGATATAAAATGTATTAACAGAAAGTAAGCAGTTGACATCTCAATGCACGTTACAGGTGGTTTGTCACCAAAAGGTTTAATGTGAGTGGTTGAGAGATAAGAAAAACAATCAAGATTTGAAATTTCCCCAAAAGACATTGCTGCAGTCAGCCTGTATAATATCGAATGAAACTTGTCAGGAGTAGACTCAGGACCCCTGATGTTGTGACACTGGGGATGGACCAACATCTATGAGCTTAATCAGTATAACTTATAACATCTAGAGACAAAACCAACTCAGTAAAAATTATTCTCATTCATAACTAAATAATCTTGGGGGTACTGAGAATAATACTAGGTCAACTATATATTTATAGCTCTGTAGAAATAGTACATGTTCTAAGACTTACATTGTGGGAAGCTGGGGGAAGCTCATGGAAGGCGTACTGGATCTTAAAAAAACAAGGAAACATACATAACAAACCTGGTCACAAATTGAAAATAAAACTTTTAATATCATAACTTTCTATGTATATTTACTTTAAATTAAATTTATTTGCAACTTCACAAAAATAAACAGCTTTTTAGAGGAATAATAGGCTCTGTTACTAAACACAGGCTTCCCCAAAGTTCAAAGAATAATCATTATAGCATATGATCTCACCGTCTACATTGTGCATGACCTTTACCTTTCAATGTACAGGTGCAGAATCTAATTCAAGTTGCATAGAATGGAAAGATTACGTGTAATCATTTACAGAATTGCTGCTGTGCTCATCCTAGCAATTACACCATGCTATATATATTAATTTTACCTTTGTTCTCATTGTTTGGGCAGCAAAGTAGCATGATTCCATACTTTGATGTAACCTCAAGAGTTGATCTGCTATCTGCCATGCATAAACCTGAAGCAAAAAAAAATGACAGCAAATAGAAACATATTTACATTACAAAAAAATATGTCAAAATCAACAAATGAATGGAGACAATCCACAAAACGTAAATACAATAACTATCTTTGATCAAATGGAAAACATGGATCTCCCTAACACAATGCGTCACGTTTCCTACATCATCTCTATACACATAGAATAAACTAATCTATTTTAGTATGGTGACTTACTGATCTTTGCAGCTCCCCAAGCCATACCGAGGCCTTCTCTTTGCCGCTTACGTCTGGATTATTGTACAAAGCATGAAGAGCCTGTCCAACCGTCTCCAACGACGGTTCACTGTCCATGTTGAAGAGTTACAGATAGTCTTAATGCTTCAGAAAGATGGATATATACATTAAATTAGGTACTCGTGTTTCTCTGGCAGAAACCTGCCGGAAGTTGGTCTTTGTATAGCAGGTCCGCACTGAATCTCACACCTAAAAGTGAAAATAATATACAGGGATACATAATCAGCCATTTATAATCACTTATTGAGGGGGGAGATTAAGATTAACTAGTGATATTGAAATATTCTCAATCATTTCCTGTAATATTTTCAAAAATATGATTTTGCACAAGTAGAGTAATCAATCCATCAAATATTCGTGTCTAAATATTTTGTGCAATTGTCCTTAGAACTAAAATGAATTATGTTTGTTTAACTTTTAAAAATATGTTCTCAATTGATCTCTTGCTGTTTTTGCTAATTTCGTGATTCTACATCATTGATTTTACAAATACGAACTACTTATGTACAAGTTGTCAAAAATTTGTAAAAGTGAAAGTAGAAATTCGAGATGTCCTCACGGTCTTGTGACAATCATTTCTTTTAAGTTGCTGTCATGGACGCTGATGGGCTCCCTTTAGTGGGATCCGGTGTAGACTATATTAAGGTAATGTTCTATTTTTTCCTGCTTCATGTTTCCGATACAAACGGTTTGTGCTTGGGCTTTAAAGTATGTGAGTGGGCGTCTCCCATCCATCAAATCAATATATCAAAATCAATATGTTGTTCTCGCTTTTCGGTAATGCTAAATGTATATATCTAATACCTTTTCAGGCTTCACAAATATCTCAGTGGACGATAAATTTCAAAACTATATTCAAATCACAAGTACGTGTATGGGAATATCCCTCCTTTCTGGAAAGAGATAGGAGGGGTGACCCTTAATCTCAGCTGAGAATCGGTTTGGATGGATATTTATACTGAAACCTTCACCAGTGAAGGCATCACTGGTGAAGGCGTCAGTCCAAGTACCTAGCCAAGCCGATTCTCAGCTGAGATTAGGATAACCCTAGTTAGAATAATCTAACTGTGTCTCGGGACAAGCCCTCACCACAGTTAGAATACGTCCCATATACTTGCAATGTAGCAAATCGGAGTGGATCCACTCCAAAATGATTTTGAAGGATACAAAAGGAGTTGCACTGAAAATAACTACCAAATTTATTATAACAAACCTTTTTGAGATTGTATATGCCTTTTAACCTAAAAAATAATCCATATAAATACGAAAATTCAACTCATTTTCTCAACGTTTTTCCTCGCTTCAAATTTAATGCCATGTTGACATTCGGAACTCTCTGGATTGTTCATAGAAAATGCACAGAGTTCGAGTTATCGCCCGTGTTTATTTTGCAACATTGCCAATACACGGAACGAATTCTATCGTTAAACCGGGTCTGTAGGACAATATCATTTTAACGATAGAACGTTCTATCTAGGATGACCCCAGACACAAAAGTGCCTGTAACTTATAGTGTTACAGTGGATCATGCACCTATTTTGGCAAATAAATTTGTTGCAAATCTCTATTATTTATGTCTCTGATAAAAACCATTTTTGTCCTGCAGATATTCTTATAAGTATTTTCTATAATTTTGTGGGCATGCATCAATAGGCAAATGCATGATTGTATCCATATTAATTTCTAAACATTTTTACTAAATCTTGGACACTTAAGTTAAAGTGGATTTTTTCCCTGAACATGGAATTCCTTTTATTTAGTGTAATTGGTTTATTTGAATGAAATAGAAATTAATTAAAAGAAATATTTTGGAAGGTCTGTTGGGAGCAAAATTCCATAAAAATCAATCACATACATGTAATCTGTGCGTGTCTTCAAATTCTGGGTACAGAAGTGTCGAGAGTTATCTCTCTCTTGATTTACCATTTTTAACAAGGTTATGTTTATCATCTTCAATCTTGTTGATTCCCTGGGATTTTATTTTGTCTATGCAAATTGTACATGATCTAAATTTATACAAGATTTTGAACATGCTAAACTAAGTACTAGATGTATGGTAATGGATTCTGAATGCATTCATAGACTGGGTAACCAGAATTCAAATACATAATATGTAACAGTAAACTATGAATATACGATTTTTTTTTTTCCACAGGTTGAAGCTATTCAACAGAAAAGAACTATTGCTTTCATCAATCATTTCATCACCCACACAGCAAGCTTCCTTAACCAATTCTCCTGTGTATGCGAGGAAAAACTAGAGCATCTGTCTAACAGGATACAAAATCTGGAAATTACACTTAGTCTCCTGGAAACAAAGGTATATAACTCCCCAAAAAATGGGAACAGATCTTGTATGGTGTTTGATAATGTTTTAATAATTATTAATTTTCATTTTTTTTCCACCAAGTCATTCTATTATAAAAGATTAAAGTACTGTTTTCTGCCTATTTTATTTGTTGTCTTATATTAATGAAATCTTAGATAACATGAATGAAAAAACATAATAATTTTATGATCAGATACAACTTAGCAGCATGATAAATCAATATTACATTACAAATGGGTAACCGCATTAAGCAATTTTGACTTTTCGTGTAATTTTTAGTTGTCTTCAATTCCTGGGCTTGATAGTGTGACTGCTCCAACTAGCAGCACCACATCTGCCCCACCAGCAGCCTCAAACACTCCAGTCTCCACCTCAGGGACCCCATCAGCTCCACCTGCCCCTGGAGCACCACCTCCACCTGTAAGTTGGGGTTCTATCAGGCACTTAAGGTGTCTCAATGATTACTGTCCAGTTTGCCGATAAAATACTGTATAAAAAATATTTCAAAGAAATTATTTTCGAAAAGGTACACATATATTCATTTTATGGAAAATGTTTTCTAATAGTCTGGAGTACTCAGAATTTTTTTTTCGTATTTTGTAAATGACCATCACTGTGCAATGTTTTCTGTAATTTTAGTCCACTCTGGATGAGGCTCCCCCACCCCCACCCCCAGAGGAAGAGAAGCCTTCTAATCCTGTGTCCAAAGATTCTAGATATGCTAAATTCTTCAAAATGTTACAAGTGGTAAGATCCATGGTCATAGTCATGTTAAACAACAACAACAAAAAAAAAAAAGATTGAGTACCTTTAGTTGAGCCATTTTTTTTTCAATGTAAAGTCCTTGAATGTGCTTACTCATTTGAATTTTGGTTCATTTATTGTTTGTTTTATTTTTTTCACCTGAAATTGCTATTACAATAGAAAATCTAATCACACTTATATGTTTATATGTTCACTTAATATATATTATTTGGTATTTATTGAAGATAACATACTTGTAAAAGCTGTATTGTTATATTAGACATTTATCTTTTGCACTAGGGAGTACCAGAACCTGCAGTTAAAAACAAAATGAGAGCAGAAGGACTCGATCCAAATTTCCTAGAGTAAGTTCCCTTTTTTGAATGAGTTGATTTGATAGCATGACAATGTGTCAATTTTTTTTACCCACTGAAGCATTTTACTTGCACTCAAAAGTAAAGTTTATCAATTATTTTCAAGTTGAAAACATCACCTTGCTTTTATTTTCTATTTTATATTTTTCTCTCTATTTCAATCTAAATTAAAGTTTCTTATAAATCTAATTCTAACCATTTTCCCAGTTGGTTGATTGTTACAGTAAAGTGTCTATATTTTCTCAAAAGTAATAATTTAGATGAATCATTACCTGGTTTAGAATTCTCATCTTTGCTTTTAATCTTGATTTTTCTGAGTTTCTTTAAGACTAGGACTCTATAATTATAAATATTTTTCAGTACCCCTGATGCCCCTGCCCCTCCAGAAGATGTGAAGAAAGCTGACAGTGACAGTGATTTTAGTGATAGCGATAATGACAGCATGAGTGATTAAGCTAGATAATTACAGCAATTATCACCTATGTAATTAGCAGAACAATTAATCTGCCTACTCTAAGGGAGAATGGGATAATTTCATTCCTGTGGCAGGATAAATTAGTAATTTAATTGTGGCACTTTGAGTGATACATACTTAACTTCGTAAAAAAAAAAAATGAATGAAGATCTCTTAAAATTAAACCATAAGACTTCATAGTGGCATGAGAGTATCATGGAATTCTGCAAGATGGATTAAAATTTACAATGTTTTGTAGGCCAATTTGTGGATTAATTAGATCTATGATTGAAAGATTGTCATGTGTATATATACTCGTTATGTTGAATAAAACTATGGATTCTATGACTCATTGTATTACATATTCATTTAAGGAGTCAAATTACTTTATAATTAGAAATTGAAATGGCTGGTACTTGACTAGGACTGACATAGAGATAATCAATTCAAAAATCTTAGTTAGTAGTAGTGTAGCAGGTTTTAAAGTGACTATATTTAGCTGTAAATAGCGAGTCACACTCCTACTGGTAGTGGCTAGTAAGTTAGCCCTTTAACTCAGTTGAGTTTTTAATGTACATGTATAATATAGATTTTTAGTATGAGGATGGTTAGTTCAAGTCAAGGTCATCCATATTCAACCACAAATATACAATATGTAGATAGATGCATCTGAATTATACATAAAATTGACGACTATAAAATAAGCTGATAACCCCTTCCCATTCTCAGGTTAAAATGTTGTGGCTGCTAAATACATGTAACCGAATAAGCAATTTAAAAGAAACTGAAATGAGAAAGTATTCATAATTTGATCAAATGAAATCACAGGTGTGACTGTAAAATCACATTTTCGTGGGGTCAAATTTTTGAGGTGTGAGGAAAAACTATGGGTTCATGGGGATTTGATTTCATGGATAAGAAATGTTGCGTAGTTATGGCATTTTACATTTCCCGGTGGACATGAATTTATGGGTCTCTTTATACCTTGAAAAACAATGAAATTTAACCCCCCATGAAAATTAGTGATTTCACAGTACATGTATATGCATGTTTATATTGGCTATACATTAAAAAAAGAGAAACAGAAGCATGAATCTATTAATTAATTACCAATCTTCAGATAAAGGTCAATGTCAACGTTCATGTGGCTTTTATGAAAAGAATTACAAGGCTAAACACACATATGCAAAAATAAATACGACTCTTTCAGATTCTTTAATTTCTTTATTTGAAAACATAGACCTGGAAAGATTACACAAGAGCAATTTCCAATATCTTTATCCAAAATACATTTGGTACAACATTGCTTAATTTTTACATTGTACACAATCTTGCACATGTTAAGAATGCATCAAAATATTTCAATCAACAGAAAGAAGGTTTTGTTTAAAATTATGTTATTCTTCCTACAACACTATTTACAATATTACCCAAGTTCAGATTTAGAAAGAATAGAGGTCAATTATAAAACACTGTGATACATTTAAAACATGGCACTTCTACTTGAGGATAATATAACAGAATAAAAGAACATAGTTTTAAGTGATTTTTTAGACCTTTCTAATCTGTGGACATATATTGTACAGTGAAATGTATTTCATAAATAACATTATATATACTGGTAGATTATTTACTACTTCTGATTGAAAATACAAAACATTTTCAATTACAAATGACAAGAGGCCCATGGGCCACAAAGCTCACCTGAGTCACATTTGCCCTGCTGTTCTGTCAGAAAAAAATTTTTAAAAGATTTTTTTGCTCCTTATTCCTATAAAAAATTTGACTCCATATTGTTGCCCAAACATTTCCTAAAGAGGTTATGATATAGCCAAAGTTGAATTCACACATTGGGATTCTACGACTAACAAGGCTCTGCTGTTCCCTCCGAGTAAGATTTTTAACATTTTTATTACAAAACTTGAGTCTACAATACCTGAGGATGTTTCCAAATTAATATGACTTATCATGGCCCTGCTGATCTTGAGAAGAAGACTTTAAATAATATTCCTATGTAAAACTTTGATCCCTATTAAGGCCCCACCCTATCCCCAGGGGTCATGATTTGAAGAAACCTTAAACTTCACTATGTAAGGAAGCTTTCATGCAAGTTTTATCTTTTATGGCCCAGTGGTTCTTAATAAGATTTTAAAAGATGCCATCAAATTTTGACTAATTCTTAATTATCTCCCCTTGAAAAGGGCATGGCCTATCACTTGAACAGACTTGAATCCCTTTCACCCAAGGATGCTTTATGGCAAGTTTGGTTGAAACTGGCCTAGTGGTTCTGGAGAAGATGTCAAAAATGTAAAAGGTTTACAGACAGATGGACACCAGACACCCTTCAATCAGAAAAGCTGACTTGAGCCTTTGGCTCAGGTGAGCTAAAAATCAGGCAAATCACAAATGAAAATATTCACAATCACACTCTTCCTATATGCCAGTACCAGTATTTTTAAGAATATGTAATTTCTATGAACTAGTAACTATCAGAATCATTGCAAGTGTACCATTTAAACTGCTTCTACTCCTTAATTATGTTTACTGCATTTGTAATAAATAGACCTTTTATGACAAAGCAAACTTCAAATTCTGAACAATATACCCCCCCCCCCAAAAAAAAGCAACTTTCATGGCTACAGTGATGGATATGTTTAATTAATTACTGAGACATTTATATGCTATTTAAACATACAGTAATTTCTGACATCAAATATACATATTTTATAGCTGCTGACGGAATTACCAAAGTGCTTACAATTTAAATATTGTGCATTACTGGATTTGTCAGAAACATTAAATTTTCATCATTGCTTCATCATAGAAATATATAATAGAATAAAAAAAACACAATCTCGGATCCAAGTAAGTGTAACAGTATTATACTCTATATGTCCTTCACAAAATCAAGATAAAACTTTCTACCTGAAAAACCACCTTGTCTATTTGACAATACCCTGAAATGCTTATTGGTTTGTGATAGTCATGTAATTATCATGTGGTTGAATACTGAAATGCCAGGAAAATTGTATCCCAGTATATCTAAAAATAACATTATCCTTTAAGATATACTTATTTCTTTTAAGTCTTCTTTGGAGGTAGTAACTTTAATATGTTTATCTGTTTAAGTTTTTATTTAGCTTTAAAAAAAAAAAAACTCCTTGTTTTCATGTATATCAGATCTCATTCAATCCATGCACTTTTTGACAACTAAAGCTGAACAAAAAACAAGGAATGCTAATTTTCTGAGCACAGATAAGCAAGTCAACATCCATCAGTATGATGAAAAAAGTTTGCATACAAAATTGTACATCTCAGAGGAACCATGCTTGAATAATCACATGCAAATTGAAAAATAAGAAAAATATAAACTTTTTTATCACAGTAAACTGGTCGGGTTTTTTCTAATAACATATTTTCTCCAATAACCTTTAAGACTACATGGCCATATATAAATTAAAAAAAACTATTTCAAAAATTATCATGAACCTATTTAAATTTCAAATTTCCCCATTATTCAATCTTCCTATAAAAAGTATTACTGCTAGAAACTTTTTTTTTTATTTATGAGCGTTTGTCTTGAAGAATATTCTTGGAGAATAAGACTTCTTTTAAATGTGAAGAAGTTTACATCCAAAATTTGCCAGTTATTGGAGAAAATATGAAAGAGCAACTACACAAACATTTTTTCAGCACATATAAATGACAACATCATTGTAAGTTATAAGTTACACAGATTACTTGGATCTGGGCAGGCATTGCTGCACAAAAATAAAGCTTACATGTACATGTAATATACAAATAGGGCTGTCATTAATGAGATTTTCCATATTGGTATACATGTACCATTTGTAAAAAAAAAAAATATCAATTTTTCTATACATAAAGAAATTATAAACACACACACAGACATATTGTATTCAAATACATGTACCCAATTACAAAGTATATGACCAATTACTATGCCTTTTTGCAAAAACCAAGAAAAATAAAATTTTTGAAGTATTATACAATGAAGTACATGTACAAATTATCTTCAGCAAACAGTATATAGGTTCACTACAGCAAAAAATTTTGCTCAGTCTATAATCTTACTAAAAATACACAATTTTGATCAGGTAGTATAAATTCAAAACAAACTTTAGAGAGTATTGCTTTTCAGATCTTGAGGTGCAATTCCTTTGATACACATAGCCATTAAGCAAGGCACACGAAGGCGGTCGAACTCGAACAAGTGCTTGAAAATCAAGTGCAGTGCCTAATAAATACAGCACACAAAAAATTCAAAATGCCCAAAATTTTAATGGATCTTGTAAAATCAGGAAGCTTTCTTACAGTTTTTCATCTCATTAAAAAATTCAGTTCCATACTACCGTAATGCAGAAATGCCCGAATTAGGAGGGGAGATTCAAGAATTATTCTGCCTCAGCCACATTCTGAACCTTAAAAGAAATACTACGAAAAAGACCTGAAGAGCTTTAACTGCAAACGTTTAGCCTAAACAATTTAGTATTCACAAATCTGTGTAATCTCCAGGACCACACACCTGTTAGATTAACTGACTCCAACTGTAATTATGACCCAAATCCTTAATCCTGCCTGTGATTATCCAAATTTTTTGTTAATTTATATATAAAATGTCTGCTATGTAATAAATTATTCATCCTCAAAAAATGTATTAATATTACAGTAACATCATCTGAATCAATAATATATTGATATTGAATCTATCAATGACAGCCCTTGTGTACATATTTACATCAAGTATAAAACTGTACACACTGGTTGATTTCCATACATGTATGTACTAATAATGAACAGTATGCCAGACACATATTTCTAATTGCACAGCAAATATACCAGCCCATAGAGTTACCCCCCAGTCAGTCTCACATTTTAAGCACTAGGAAATTTACAACCAGTTATACATGTACTCAACATACATGTACATGTATATGTCACTGATGAATGCTTCACTGATAATTAAGATTCGAGGTAATTCTCACATCTTTCACAATCTGAATTTAAAGTTCTTTCCTTTTTTGTAGTTCTTTTTCCCCCCATCAGTTTTAAATACATGGACAACTTTAATCTGAACATGAAAAATATATTTCAAAAATATCTTGCATCTTGATGTTACTTTTAAGACTAACATTTGGTACAAGAAATCCAGTTTTGATTTTGTATTTGTCCATACCTGATATTCTTAAACATGCACACATTAAGTGTAGAATAATATCATTATATTTCAGTTGATATGTTAAATAAATACATATATCTCTCTATCTAGAAAACAATATTTGCCCTTAGTGCACATAACTCTATTTTGATACTGTACAGATATCCACAAAATACTTTAAAATTGCCAAAGAAATTAAAATATATACAGTAGTTTATAAATGTACAAATCACAAAATTATACATTTTGAATCACTAAGAAAATTGCCAGGCATGCAAAACAAATTATCATGAACACAAACAGATTTATTTTTGTTTACATCTTGGATTTTTGGTGCTCTATGGGAAAAAAGTTTGATATATCTGGTATAGTTCTTTGCAAGCCCCGCCCCCTTTCAATCAATCAGCGTCTCCCTCGGGAGGAAGCTGCACCTGGGGAAAGGGTTCCGATGGGGAGGGTTGGGGAGGAATAACATGGATGCTTCCATCTTGTTGCTGTTGGACAATGCCTTGGTCAGGAGGGGCTGTGTCCCCCACAGAGGATAAGTTGGATAATGACTTGCTTTTCACACACTGGAAATCTACATGGCGACTCTTGGCTTCTTCTTTTTCCCATGACATGCGGATAAAGGGCCTTTGGACATAGTTGTATATCACTGAAAAAATCATTAAAATCCTTTATAGATGAAACTGACTTGCATTCTAATATTGGCTTTTACTCAAGAATATATCATTTAGCTCTGTTTTTCTCAATTAGAACAGTTGAAAATGACATCATTCAGAACCATGCTGACTCCTGTATTCTGAAATGAACAATTAAGAGAAAACACAAGCATACTCTTACAAACACTTGATCAAACATTAAGTCTCACCTTCTGGTCGACCACCGGGCCGCTTCCTGACCTTCTCTTTGTTGGTTGGGTAACCTGTCAAACAGAAAACCCTTATAAACTTCAACTTCAAACTTAATCCTCAAATTTAAATTCAGTTTTTTCCTCTGAAACTGAACATTATTTTTTTAAAGTGAAATCATAAAGTTTCTTTAACAGGTTTTAAATTTTAGTTGCTTGATGTTAGTCTGACATATATAACCTACCTTCAATTCCAAGGCGGATCTTTTTCAGCCCTCTTTCCTTCAGCAGTTGTTTGGCGACATCTCTGTTCTCGATGTACTTGAAAAATCTATACAAGTGTGTACTGTACACAACTACAATAAGATATATACATGTATTGTATGGTGAATTTCATTATACCAAAAAAAACCTGCTGGATTTCACTCAATACATAAATTATTATGTAAATGCAATGTACATTACATGAATATATGAACAAACTTTGACAAGAAATAATTATAATCATACAAATTGGTTTTGAAAGTTGTACCTTTTAAAACTACAAAACATCTTGCCTGATACATGTAAATCACTTTGATATAGAGATGCATGATTCTTATTCAGACACTTTTTCTCTTGTAAAATTGATAATATTTCTACATTTCTCTCTACGGTAAGATTCAGTTTTCTTATGTACATACTCTGAGAATACTCCTCGCCGAGTGTTTGTGGGGGATAGTCATCGTCCCAGTCCAGAATATCATCATCAGTCAGGACCACTATGTGACACTCTCTGTCTCCATTCTGAAAGAATAAACGAGTTTTTACAAATATTTTTTAGAAACATTGTATTTAATAAGAGCACATCCACTTGTACAGCAAATAACAAATCTTTTCAAAATATTTACCTAGAGAGGTGGATGTTGCCATGAAAATTGTGCTGCAATATCTTATTTCTATATTAATATATTTCAATGAAATGGATTCACACTCTACATAACAAAGTTACACAAAATATACCAGTACTTGGACTACAATAAATCTAGTCATCATGTTTTTTTGTGACAAATTCATTAAACATTTTGAACTTCTATGATGCCAATAACACGTATTAATTCCTAGTAATTTCAAATAACATAAATAACTATGACATTTTCATGATGAATCAAATATGTTTGTAGCGATAAAATATGTATCATTTTGAACTCTCATATTACAATTTGATAACACTGCATATTACTGCTACTACCAGTATATGCAATATTTATTTTATACTGAAGGCCAGAAAGAATGAAAGGGAAAAAAGAACTGAGAAGGGATGGGGGAAAAAGAAAACAGTTACTCAAAACATTTTACAGACCTTTAAATAACTTATAGTGAAATAAGGAATTTACTCTCTGAAACATTGGTTATGTGTGTAATGACTTAGATAAGACTTAAGTAGAGAAATGAAATCTGCAAAAATTGTTTGGGAAACCTACCCTGGTTATGCAGTATAAAGATACATCATCATATATTTCCCCCAAATACATAGTATCTAAAATCTAATTTTGAAGTCATAATTTCTATAAAATACATGACTATTTTGAACTTGTGTATTTTGCACTCAGAGTAAATAAACACTTTTAATGTACAGTAAAACACAAGTCATTTCAAAGAAATTGGCTGAATTAGACATTTTAAACACTTGAAATAACTGTAATGGACTAAAACTTTTAATCATATTTGACAAGATTTCGGAATACACACCATCCGGATTGGAAAAGTTTTACTGTATGTGTCCAAATAACATTTAGGATGCAGTTGGCATCATCATATACATGAATAAGCTGCTTCATTGTTACCTGGGCACACTGTACCATCTGTGGTAGCAGCAACTCCTCCAGAAAGGCATCAAACTGCTGTCTGGCTCCCTCATTGGAAAGCTCATGAAGAAGGCCCCCTATAAATGGAGATTACAATCAAATTGAATCAATCAACCAAATAAACATTAAAACATTAAATCAACAAAAATATGTCACCATGTTCCTTTCAGAACACTTAATATTCTGATCTTCTTTGGTGAATGGGACCTGCATTTGATCTCTTGCAAATTCTTTCATTTGAATATTTAGACCTATAAACCCTTATGCACTTTCAAATATTAGTGCTTTACAATTCCAAAACTAGGACTATCATCAGTAAGTGACAGTACATATGTAACGGGAAGCAGCTTCAGATGGAAATTTTTTACGTGAAATCTAGAATTTTCATACCCTGACTCTGTTGAAATTTAGATAATTCCTATGCATTGATTATATAAAAAATGTCTATAACCTATTACATGCATGTATTTCTTAACAAAAACCAGTCTATGCGAAAGTTTTTTGGACCACACAGGACATTTGGTCCTGTGTAATCAATGAACACACAGGATCGAACCAAATTTTGTCAGACCAAGAAACCTAATGCAAAAAAGTGAAACACGTGAAAATACAGAGTGGTAGACTAGCTTAACAGCTTTTTCTTTAACAAGGGATCACTCCTGCATAATACTGTAGATGGACCATGCCGTTTTAATCACAGTCATTTACAGGTAACTCTCGAAACGTCGAAGTCCGCAGGACCGAGGAAAAACTTCGAGAGATCAAGAGTTCGAGTTTTCAAGAGTCCGGAATTTTCCGGGTTTGTTGCAGGTTTTAAAATTAGTCTTACCGGATGTAATGATTTTCATGCAGTGCTAACCTTTTACACCTGGATTTTATAAAACAACGATATTTTTTCGTAATTCAGATGAATATTTCATTAAACTGAGTAAAGCAAAAAATGTATATCGTCATATCATGTATATTTATTTATTCTTTGTAATACGGACATCATACTATGCATTCGTTACATGAAAACGACATTTTACAGCGTCGTACATAGCATTGACTATTCCAAACATGATCATTGAACGCAGTTCTGTAAGTATTTGTCCAATAATAGTCGTCATACTGACATTGAGGCTGTTTCTTCTTTCTTCATTTTTCATTTAACTTTGACACTGACTCGAAATAAAAATTAAATTAGTGTTTTGTCTTTTAATAAATTACAACTTTTCAAAGACACTGCGTCTCTAAATTATCGTAAGACAGTCGATGATAATTATTTTAATAGCATATAGGCAAAATATGATTCATTACAAATCAATTATCACCTTCCAGCATAAGTGTCACCTGAATAAACATCCTGTCTTCTGCCTGGGGCCATTTAAATGTCCAGGTAAAGGTGCTAATTATATAATCTTGTATACACATAGCCACTTCGAGGTATCGAGGGTAAATTCTAATAGAATATGCATAGCGGGACAGCATTTTGACTTCGAGGGATCAAGGGTTTCGAGAGATGAAGATTTCGAGAAATCAAGAGTAAATTTGCTTAGTTATATAGTGGAAAAATTCGGGACCGGAGACTCACTTCGAGCAATCAAGAACTTCGAGAGGTCGAAGTTCGAGCCATCAAGAGTTACCTGTACGTATTTTGATTTTTATAATATTTTTTTACTTGTAACAAACATTTAAATGATACCGCATCAAAATAATAATGCTCAAAACTGGACACTGACACATCAGACATTCTTGTCCGGTGTAAAAAAAAGACGCATCGGACAAGAGGCACTGCACATCAGTCAGGTCCGACGGTCCGATGTCTTTCCATAGACTGAAAAACCTTTATTAAGAACAAGGAAGCTTACTCAGGTTTTGACATTTGACAGTGCTGGCATCAAATGGTACAAGGAAATAGTCACATGCTTCCCTCAGCTCTCTCACCGTCACACTGGGTGGGCAGCGAATTATCCCTGTTTTGTAGTACTCCTGAATGAAAAAAGTTAAGAGCCATTCTCTGTAATGACTTGAACTTTTATATAGGAGCTGTGGCACGCATAGTCTCAGAATTTCTCCAAACTCTCTATGATAAAAGTCTTTGATACCGTAAACTCAAATCAGGCAAAAATTGGTTGCTACGTGTCATGGTTACCATAGCAACATGTCCTAACGTTTGAAAAATGGCATTTTTCAACATGTTCAGAGTCCCCCCGTTAACGTTTGCAGCAAAGCAAACAAGTGGCTATGACTGTTTCTGAAAGTTGAAGGCCTGATGTCTTAAATGCATGATAAACATGTTTGGTAAATCAACTATTACATACGTTACTATGGAAACAAAGTATTCAAAAGTAATAATTTTGTTCATTTAATTTTATAAAGTCATATACTTAAGAATAAAAACAATTATAGGTTGAAATGCAAGCAAATAATAGACAAGAGGTCCTTGTAACATATACGAAGGACGAACTATGATATTTCTTATAGGTTGGCAACGGTTGCTATGGTTTATTTACCTCGAAAGGATTTTAAATTTACTCTCTTAGTGTTTTAATCTTATCCTATCTTTTTAAAAAGCATATTTCTATATAACTGATGATCAATTTTTAAAGGCATTGGTGTTACCCTAATTTTCACATTTCAAAAAATTCAAATTCAATTCTTTAAATAGAGCGTTGCTATGGAAATTAGCCGGAAAAATATGCATAAAAATCTGAAAAATATTCTGTTTCCTTGGATACGCACCCTTGTATGTAGATTCCCAAAACTTTTATGATTGATATATATGAACAACTAACCTGACTTTGAATTTTGACTACCAACCAATCTCTATCTGGATGCAAAAAGCTGGCACATAGCGTTTAATATTGATATAAAATTAACAAAATTGAACACTTTCCCTTCTTGGTAACCATAACAACAGTGTTGTATTTTTCAACAACTTTATCAATATATGATATTCAACTTTAGTTCTACCAGTTAGGTAGTATTCAAGGTGAGTCAAATAATATGTTTCTTGATTAAAAGGTAAGTAAATTCCTAAAGGAGCAAAAAATATCACTTTAAACGACTGATACGTTGTTTCCATGGTTACAATGCAAAGTATCATTTAATCCCAATTTTTCTTATGTTGTCAGTGTTGCAAGGTTCCAAGGATGCATATGTGTTAGTCATGAATTTTATTGTTTTTCCTCAAGATAGTAGTATTAACCCAATCATTGCAACAGATTTTGCATGGTTACACTGGGTTACCATGGCAACCATGAAAGTTATTTTTAGAATAATATTGCCAATACCTAATTACATAAGGTCAAATATTTTTTATTGTTTTTCTTAGGTTGTTGATTGAGTTTGGTCATGTAACATCTATCATTGGTGAATATTGAGCGTTTTTCAGCATTTTTCAGCATCTAAAATGTATTCCAAATGTACCCATGGTTACCACTTACTAAGAGATAAATTCTAAATAGTTTCTTTATAGCATAAGTGGCAACAAGGTGTCATGTTTTTGGGTGAATGGTTTGTTTGTTTTTCTTAGTCTTTATTAAGGCGTAATAAAGATTCAAAGAAGCTGAAAATCTCAATTTTTTCAACTTTTCTGGCTGTTACCATGGCAACCAAGACACATAGCAACAAAATTTTATTTAATATATGTTTCTGGTGTCAAGTTGTAATAATGGGCAAAGATTCATCAAAATCGGTGACCATGCGTGGCAAAGAATTTTAAGTGGTTACAGAGAATCGCTATTAAAATCTGATAATATTTAATAAAACACAACTTGGACAGTCTTTTTAAATGTCATATGATAAAAGCTGTTCAACAATTCAATAAGACATCTTTCTTTCCTTTTTCTTTTTAAAAATGCTGTAGGATCAATTTAAGTAACTTATAATTTCTTACAAGAATTGCTCTAAACACACAAGAAGATATTCCATCTGCTACTTCATATTCCCCTCTCTCATTAGGACGTATTAGATTGTTCTCCATGGATGAAGTGAACATTCTAAAAGAAAAAATTGTAAGTATAACTCAAATACATGACATTTATTCAACTCAAAAATTTTGAGTACTTTATTTGAATTAAAATCAATACATGTGTATAAATTAAAATTTTCAGCAATATACAGAACCCTTGACGATGCAGTTGCTAAATTTTCTATACATATTACCTGCCAAGCATGGTGTTTGGATGTGCTCTAAAAAGATCTTGGTCAACAATGAATCGAGTCTCATCAACAACCAATGTGAGTCTCTCCCCGAGCCTCGGGCTGCTAACACCGGTGTTAAGCTTGGCAATACCAGCCACCAGGCTGTCCCGCTGGTCAAAACTGAACTTGGACTTAGCAAGACTATCCTGATTACCCCCACAAGCCAGCATGGTGCGTGGCTGGACGCTACACCTGCTGTGACTGCTTTCGTTGTCAGACATTACGTGGATATCTCCGTCATCGTTACTACTGGTTGTCTCTAAGCTGTGTGTCCTGGACCTGTTCACTAGACAAGGCTTAGACTTGGGGGTTCCAAGGCAGCTAAAACACAATTAACATTATCCTATAGGAAATATATCAACAACTGAATTTTACATGCAGTTAAAAAGAAATGCACTGAAGAGAAAATGTACCCTTCAATGTGAAATCACGGAGCTATATGATAGCAATGTAAATCAAAGGCTATACTGTAGTCAGGATTACTTTCAACCCATCATTAATGTAAAGGAACTTTTCCCTATTTAAATTTGCTCTGACAATGAATAGTAATAAATGAGAAATAAACTTGTCACTGTTGAATTGCCCAATTTTCGATCTGGCTTACAGACCACTTGGGCAAAAGGGGCAAAAATTTCCCTGTATACAGTATGTTCTTTGTTAATATCAAACACGACCTAAACTAGAATTCTTGGACAGATGTTATAATCGTCATTTTAACCTTTCAAACCATATCATTACCTGGTACTTTTTATACAGGTTTTTTTTCTGTCCTCCGTCTCGGAGTAGTAGTCAGTGTCGCTACTATTGCTATCGTAAGTATGATTGCTCTTCTGTTGATGTTTGTGGCGGCGATAGGCCATCCCATCAAAGGGAAGGAGGTCTATCGAGAAAAGTCACCGGTTTTATCGCATGTGTATTACCTACAAATATAAATGAGAAATGAAACATTGCTGAACAAATTAACAGTCTCACTCTGTACCCATTTATTTATATATTATTATAAGTATCAAAATCTTTTAGAATGAAAAAAGTTTTCTAAAAAAATAAACCTTTTATTATCTTTTTTTATAATCTACTGATCATTTGTACACAAATATTAAAGTTTTCACAAGAAACATTTCAAAATAAAGACCTTATAATTTCATGCTACTGATATAGTCAAAGATAGCCTTGGCTACTTTTTACAGAACAAGTTTACGATTAAAAAATCAAGTGCAAACGCAAACCATACAAATATTTGAGTCACTGATGAGTATATTTATCAAAATTTCTGAAAAGTTAGGCAACATAAAACATTCTGGCTTAAACTGCTGAGAAAATGTTATTCGTCACACTTACAACACAAAACGGAAACACTTTTTCCACAATAATACCGCAATGCAATGTGGGAACACTAAGGGCACATTATCTACAGTACAGCTCGAAAGTTTTGTTTAAGGAGAGGAGGGATAAGATCTTACTCCTATATGAATGAAACGTTTGTTTGTTTTGTTTTTGTTTTTGCTTTGTTTCGTTTGTTTCTTTGTTGATTTTTAAGTTTGTTAGTTGGTTGGTTTTATTTCATTTCCGCCATTTTCTTTGGGTGCATTTTTTTCTGCTTGTTTTCTTTTCTAATTTTATCATATTTGATTTTTTTAGGTGGGGGGGGGGGGATTTTTTACGTAGATTTTTTGTTTTGTTTTTTGTGAACTTCGCATACATTCCCACCGGAAATCCTGGATACGCACATTGAAATAGAAAAAAGTTGAATGATGTAAAACTTAATTATTTGATAAAATACATGATGGATCGGCAATTATTTTTAATATTAATGAAATTAATTTTAATTTGACAACTATATATATATATATATATATATATATATATATATATATATATATATATATATATATATATATATATATATATATATATATATATATATATATATATATATATATATATATATATTTATTATCTAATTTGTGAAATAAACGCTGGATAACATATAAAGATTTTTTTTTAATAGGAGCTAGTCCAGAGATGTAGACCGCCCCCTTCATTTGACCTGGTTTACATTCTTTCGAGGACCTGATTTAATAAAATTAGATTAATCCTTGGTTATGACGATAAATCTTTTTGCTCTTACGTACGGACTGGAGATTAACTGCAATCGAAAAGATATAACCAAGCCAACGATCATGCATGTTTCTGATACAAGTAAAAGTCACAACGTCTTGTACGAGATAATGAACTTGAATGTGATGATATATGTATTATATAACAGTATTATTAAATGAACTATAAATTTAATGCTTAATAAGATCTCCTCACAGCAAATAAATATATTCAAGTTTAATCAATTTGAAAAACCTGAAGATTTTTATCTATACACCCTCCCCCGAACATTCCAAAAATTGTCAAATACTATAGAGTATTGAAACTTATACTATCCTTCTGATATCAGTGCTCTTGTATGGTTTTGAAAAATTGTGGACAGGGTTGAAAATTTTTTTTCCAAGGATGCATGCGAGGAACTAGTAACCCCCCCCCCACACCCCCCCCCCCCCGCTTTTGTGGGAAAAACTTGGATCCGCGCATGTAATAAGTGGTAGGATACTGAAAAGACCAATTACAATAAAGGTGTGGATGAACTCTCAAGCGACCACTACCAAATCACAGAAGTGCTAAACTCTAAATCACGCCTAACTAAATCTGAGCTATTTAAACAATGATTAAGTACCCCAAATCCAGCGTAATATTTTGTCTTTGTAACAAAACTTTCACCCACACTGAGCTTAATACACGATATTTAAATTTTCATTAGGGTATTAGCATTGATTTCCCTCTTTGAGCATTTACGACACACTGTGAAAAAAAGTTGAGCAGTAAATATATTTGTTTACAATAATTTAAATACAATCATGACAAAACTGTAAAGTCTTCAGGATCTGAAGTTTCTGGAAAAGGGGGTAAATATGCCCAAGAAGCACGCGGCGGCACCGAGGCCCAGCAAACCTCCCGTGAGGGCGCAAGAAGAGGACAGAGACCCGAATCATATCAATGACCAACTAAAGGTGAGCGCACTGTGCAATTTATATTGATAGTGTCTCCGTATTTTTTTTTTTTCAAATCATGTGTTCAAGAATCGATTCCAAAAGAATATGAAAAATTACAACTTTTAAATTAATCATAACAAGTATAACTACAATCTACATTGTATGAATTTTAGAACGATTGATTGGTTTTATTTGAAAATATAGTTATAGTACTCAAGTTTTACCAATGAGATGGGGACCTGGGTTTTTTTTTAAATAAAAAAAAAACTTACAATACCTCTGGTCTTACTATAGTATACATGTATGTAGACTTCAAAGAGTTGAACGTCTACCTACTGTACATGTATATTCGGAAAAAGGGTATACTTCAATAACTAAAAAGTTCACATTTGTTCTTCAAATAAATAAATTTTCGTGGGAAAACGGACAATTACATTTTTTGTATTTGCGATAAGTAACTTACTGGGTAGGAGTAATTCACATGTCAACGATTTGGAAGCTATGAATTGGATCTGAATTTTTTATTGACTATTATTAACTTTTTTATCTAGCTGTTTCAAAATAGAATTGGCGCATGAAAATTGAAACAGAGTGAAATTAAGAGGTTTTTTTTCATAAAACATATCAATTTTTAAGTATCTGTATTTTTTTAATATGTTCTGAGATGTTCCTCACCAAGAACCCCCCCCCTCCCAACTTCAAGTTTTTACGTGGGTTACAATTGCAATTTTTTTTCTTCTTCAAGGAACATTATTTATGAATACTTCAAATGCATGACATTGTACATCTAACCCACTTAGTAATTTTTTTTTTTTTTACAGTTTGGTTTTTATCATGTCTTTGGTGAACCTTACGGGACTAGGAGTGCAGATTGTACATGGGAGTTCTCCCGGACTTTTTATGACTGTTTTATCGGCTTAGTTTACAAACTGATCACTTTCTTCACAGCCCCTTGTATAGCGTCATGGTGGGGGTGTGAATTTGCCATTTTGGCATTTCAACATGTTTGGTGCATTACCCCTTGTTTTAAATGCGTCGAGATTGTTTTTTCAACATTGACCAGAATTTTAAGAAGTTGTATGAGATGCTGCATTTATCCACCCTGTCGAGCTTTCGGACATATCTTTATATTGTTTCGAAAGGAAGGTATAAACGACGAAGAAGACGACAACCCTTTTTACCATCTCCAAAAATCGCCGGTAAAGAAAACCAGAATTATACAAACTCCGTCTCGAAAGAATAAAGTGGTTCCTGAAAAAGTTGAGAAACCGAAGCAAGAACCACCAAAACAGGTGAAGAAAAGAGAATCGGCGGATCCCAATGTTGTGCCAGGAGTGATAGCTGTTTCGGTAGTTAATGAAACAGAGGATCCAGAGGATTATTTAGGGGAGAAGTCTAATATGGTGAACGCAATTAAACGACAAATGCAAATGTAAAGAAAATAGGATGGGTCGGTGATCTGTTATTTACTTGTACATGCATGTATATATTTAAAACTTGAATAGAAATAAAGGATTTACATTTATTTTTTTGTAAATAGTTTATTGATTCAAAGCGCCATAATGAGCCACAATCATCCTCTTCTTTCATCCTCTTTTTTTATTCAAATGAAACATCCCTGATCATGCTGATGAGGACAAATTTCCATTATCTTAATTCAGATCAGACTTAAGATCTTTTTAGAAAACCCAAATGTTCGGTGAACGAGTACCGGTGCATTTTTGTGATCTATATGATGCAGATAGCGTTAAAAAGATATCAAATTAGTTTAGTCCTTACTTAAAAGACCTTTGAAATCAATTGTGCGTTGAATTTTTCTAAGCAGAATTCTTTGTTGACAAGATCATCATAATCAATTTGGCAAGAAACATCCCGACTAACAGTTTCATGTAATTTCAGCAAATCCACCAAAATTCCATCCTCCTGAGTCCACTCATGGCCGGGGACACTAGACAACACCTCTTTTTTTTTGGGGGGGGGGATCTCCTGTCATTTAGAATTATCAATCAAATTGGGACTTTCATAAATCGACATAAAAACTAACCCCCCCCCCCCCCCAAAAAAAAAATTAAACAGTTGACACTTCAATGCACGTCTTATCGGTTGTCTGTCATCAAGAGACTCAATGTGATTGGTCAAGAGATAAGAAAAAAAAAATCAGAAAAATTCCGAAAGACGTACGTCACTGAAGCCAGTCCGTAAAAAAATTAAATAAGATTTGTCTGGGGTCCCACGAGTGTACTCAGGACCTCTGATGTTACGAGGATGCTAAAATTCTTGCACATGCAACCCTGCATATACCAAATATTTGCAGGATCGATACACATGTACTAAGAAGTCAACAGTTTCTCTGATATTCCATATACTGCCTAGGTGCGTTGAATCCATCTCTGTGACTTTGCGGGGTGGGGTGGGGTACTTGTCTGATGTGCGATTGGGATAAAAATTGGCAACAAATCCGAACTAAATCATTCGTTCTACTTCCTCTGAAAATGCAATCATTATAAGAATATATTTATGCTGAAGAATATTTAAAACCACCGGTATATGGCCTAGTCAATAAAAAAAAGGAAGAAAGAAAAACAAGTGCACTGCAAAGCGGAGCGTCCCTCGCAAAAGAGCTTATCGACGCCGATGTAAATATAATTACTTGTGTAACGCCCGTTACACACGCACGCACTCACCCCCCCACCCCCACCCCACCTCATACACGCGTTACTACATCCCCTCCAATTTCGTTGCGAGAGGATAACTAGATCGCAAACTCATCCATCAATATATTGTCGGACTTTTAAACTTTCGACAGGGTGGGCTTAGAAGTATACACTGACTGTGTAAATTCTGAAACATTCGCGTTGGTATCCACTCTCGAAGTGAGAAAAAAGTCACATAAAAAAGTCAATAGTTATTTTGGAGAAAAAGGCAAGTTAGAGTTGAAAATCCTATGTCAAAAACAAACTTTGATTTAAAAAGACAAATAAAAACGTTGCCAACTGCAACCATTGTACAACCTGAAGTATGTGTACCCCTATTTTCCAGCTGGATAATGTTCTTAAAACTGATTGTCTTGGACATAAATGTCTACTATATATGTCTGTGTCCATGGGAGTTCTGTTCACATTTTCCAGTGTATTTTAAGCAGAATGTTTTTTTTTAAAATTCCATTTAGTATTGGAATTATTTGACTATAAAATAGTACAAACACTCGAGCCTGCGTCTCAAAACTTTTGGTACTTTGATTTTATTGAAGTTCTATCTCTGTCCCATCGATCTGAGATAACAAGATTTGATTTTAATTTGGGGAAAAACTGAAGCGTTTTAAATATATGGTCTGTATCTTTCTGAATAGAACTTTGCCAAACACTAACATAAATGTACTTTTTCTCGTAGCCAAATTTATTTCGAAAATTGCAAAAATTTAAAACCCACAGAACTTGCAGGAATAAGGAAAATTAGGGAGGGGGTGAGAGGGGTGCCCCCTCTCATGGGTAGAGTTCGGGGGCTCCCACGAGAAATTTTTGTTTAAAATGGTTTGAAATGGTGCATTTCCCAGCATTTTGCCCTTTAATTAGGTATTGTTTTTTTAGGATCGACCGACGCGAATTTTCAAGAATTAAAATAAAAATTTAAATTGTGGGATTTTTTTTTAAACTTATATATATATATATATATATATATATATATATATATATATATATATATATATATATATATATATATATATATATATATATATATATATATATATATAAACCCAATAGGCTAGGCAGACATCCCCGCTCCTTCCCAACCACACACGTACTGAATTCAGAAAATAGTCAATGAATAGTACATGAATCTATGTAAACGATGAACAAACAAGCCCCCTTTTCTATATTAGTTTTTACTTAATACCGTCATCCTAAAATAAAGTTTTTTTTCTCAAAAAATTTCTTGTGGTCGCCCCCTATCTCCTTTTTTCAATTCATTTAACGATATATAGATTACTATAGTAAACATAGATAATATATATGCTTGTGCCCCCTGAATAAAAACGTCTGATGACCTTTTTTTTTCTTGTCAAGGAATTTTTGGTAGTTGATGTACTTTATTTTTTTTATTATTAGTTTTGTTTTTTGCTTGTCGGGAAAGTTTTGGTAGTGCCCTCTCAACTGTCAACTGAAAAATGTATGGCTGCGCCCCCCCCCCCCCCAAAAAAAAAACCCAAACAAACTGAAATTGCTTCCTACGGGCCTGCAATTCCAAGATCCACTTCTATCGCTATATAATTTTATAGATGGGTATATCACATAATGAGTCTAACTTAATAATTTCTTTTATTTTCATAGGATGCTCAGTTTCTCAAACGAGGTATAATTTTTGAGACACACTGTAGGAAATCTGGTTAGAGTGATCTCCCTTGATATTAGCGAATTCTCGCACACTACGTGACTCAGCGTGACATTGTTGTCAACAGAAACAGGACAGCAAGACAGTTCTTGCTTAGAAAACAGAGGCTCACAGAGTATATACTACAGTAATCATGGATGAATTTCAGACTGGAGAAGAGGTAAGACATATTTTAATAAACAATTATCGTTCCAGTTGCACATAAGTGTGTTCAAAGGGTACCCCAAATTGTCAAATTATTAATGACACAATTTTCATCTTGCTTTTCAGACAGCATTTGTCACAGATGAAGTTACAAACATAGTGAAAGAGGTTTGAATATTTTAATATGGTGTTCTCATTTTTTTCATGAGTGATATGGGGTAAAAGATAAAAGCTATTAGATTAATATAAGCTTAGTATTTGATGAATTATTACAGAAATACCTAGGCATGTTTCTTTGGAGATATCAAATACTTTTGCCTATATAATCTATATCTCTTGTTGTAATCGGGCCTCTCACACATATCTGAAATTTGATCAACAAGCAAATAGTTTAAACATTGCTTGACAATGACATGCAAAGTTTTTGTAAAAGTGTCCCTTTTTTATAATGACAGCTTACTACTCTGATAGCACCATCCTCACATAGATGCATGAAATGTAACATCAATTTTTAAAAATATTTTTGCAATTTACACTGTGTATGTAAATTGGATATATACATTTTTTTCACTTTAGGCTATAGAAAGTACCATTGGTCCAAATTCTTATCAACACAACAAAGTGAACCAGTGGACGTCAAATGTAGTGGAACAGTGTTTAAATCAGCTAACAAAATTAGGGAAGCCCTTCAAATATATTGGTAAGGTCATAAATTCAGCAAGTTTTATACACTGTGTTTGAAATCAGTTTGATTGCCCACTGGTTGTTACATGTATGTGTACCTTTCAATTATAGTTACATGTTATTAAAATTAATAAAGTTGTTACACCTACAATACAAATAGTTACAAGCATCTTGATGAAAAAGACTGGATCAGGTTTACATGTGGCTTACTCCTGTTACTGGGAGGGGGCCACAGACAGTCAGTACTAGGGCTTTAGCTTCTGAAAATTTAAAGCATTTCTAAGTTTTGTGGTAAAGGTGTAAAGTTTAAGAAATTTATATGTGTGTATATGTTTACCACATTTTTTAGTGTATAGATAGTAATAGAGGTATTTGATTTTCCAGTTACCTGTGTAATTATGCAGAAGAATGGTGCAGGGTTACATACAGCTAGCTCCTGTTTTTGGGACAATGGCACAGATGGTGGGTTCTTCTTTTGTTTTAGACACTGACAGAAATCGATTTTTTATGATGACTAACTTGTTATCGGTACAGGTAAACTTCGATGTCTTGATATCTGCAAGACTATCACAAAATGACATGATATCTAGGGTATAGAAATATAGAAGACACCCTGTGTCCAGTATTTCATAGCAAAACAATGAAAGGTTAATAAATTATTGACATTTCATATCCATATAAACCCTGGGTGTTTGAAAGTTTCCTCCATGGGCTTGTATATCTCTTTACTCACATACAATTTTGTTAAAAAAAAATGATATATTCATTGCTTACATATCTTTTACCTTTTGAGAGTCAAGATTACCTTATTAATGTTTTTGTAAATCATTCATATAGTAAATTTGGACCATAGAAAGACATAGCATACCCTGCTTTGACAACAAACATGTATCTGAGGCCAATAATGGATATTCTGAAGTTTACCTGTATTTGTAATGATTATTGCTTGGATTATAAAATATCTAAAATAACCACAATGCATTTGTAGTTACGAGTACAAAAACCTCAGGTTTTGCTAAATGGGGAATTTTAAGCTGAAAAATAAAGTCTTGATATATTTACTTGAAACTCTCTGTGATTAAGTTCAGTAAGATTGGATTTTATATTGCACTAAGTCCCTTGTAAGCTTTTTGAATAAGAAAATTTAAAAGAAAAAAAAAAGAGAACCAAGGCAGTTTTCTTCTTTTAAGTTTATTAATATCGAAAATTAAGTTCAGTGAGATTGGATTTTAAATGCAATTAGTCCATTTTAAGCTTTTTGAAAAAGAAAATTCAAAAGAAAAGAACTAAGTCAGTTTTCATCTTTAAAGTTTATTTATTTTGAAAATTCTTGTTTTGTAGGAAGTTGCACAGTGAGATGGGAGAACAAAACAATGTATTGTATTGTTAGTGTGTTTGGTTTGGCAATCTAAGGAGAAGGGGGTATAACTACCAAAGGGGGGAATAATTTGTGACACAGACTTGTGACTGTTCAGAGGACAATAAAAAAGTGACAAACTTCCATTTTCATTCTTATGGGTCTTGAAGATGTAGGCCTGCTTCAGCAATTTGCTTCAAGAAGCAATGTAATTCATTTTCTTTGTACACATGCAAATGAAGATAGCTGTGTTTCTTTTGTAAAGGCCTTGTGGATTAATTACATTTTTATTTCTAATTTTAATGATCAATGCATGTACATGTATGTGCACTTGTATAGATATAAACGCCAAGAAATCTGTACATTTTATTAGAGAGATATATTTGTAGACACAATTTCCATCCAGTTGTTGAAGATGTTTCTGTGATACACCCATCAGAGTTTCTCCTTCTCAAATAGAGTTTTTCTTTTTAAAGAAGACTGTTAACATTTAATAAATTATAACATAGCAATTTCTTCAGTAAAGTGAACAAAATAAGGAACAGATTGTCTTAATGTCATGCTTACATTATTTTTGTTTCAAATTTTAATTCTATTTAATATATTTATTCCATCATTTGTACATAATGTACTTCTTATAGAACATAATAAAATTTTGTGTTCAGCTAAATTTGCTTGTATTTATGTGATAATTTCAAACTAGGGATGGCTCTTTTATTGTTTGTTAATCTGTTGGAAAGAGTAACTTTGTTTTCATCTTGATTTGACAGTGTGTACTCGGATCACATTCAAAAACATTCAGATAATATGTGTTCGAAAATTAATATCCAGGTAACACCCTTGTAAAATTGAATTTCAATTATGTTGATAAGAGTTAGAAGACCGATAACAGAACAAAAGTCTCTGATAGTGAAAGACCCACCGTTCTACAGAAGTATTAATGATGCTTATTTACTACAATAGAATGCAAAGAATCTGGGGGGATAAGACGAGCCATGTGCCCATGCCCGTTTTTCGACTATGCAGTAACATTTATTGGAAAAAATCTCTCAATTGTTCGAATTTACTTAAGCATTTTAATGATATTTATATTCTAAACAAGCTAAACAGTTGACTTTCATTTACTGTCACAAATGTCTAACATGGGTAAGGACTTCTATTAATTAATCTGCATATTGAGTGTTTACACTTATTGTGGAGATATTATAAAAATACTAACATCGTATATAATGATAATGGTGATCTAGAAGCACTTTTATTTAAAGTAAATAAAAACGGGAATAAAAGTATTCAAATACATGTATCTATTATAATTTTATCCGGCATTTTAAATAATTTACTGTAAATAAGTTCATTACTACATGTATATATTTTATTTCCAGTGAAAAATATGTTATTCCTATAGACATTTTTTATGAAGTAAAACAAAATTAAAACAAAAAAAAATCAAAAAATCAGAGCATGACTCGATCACTTTCCTCAATAAACGTCCCTTAAAAGAGCTCCTCGCTAACCACTAGACCACGGAGTCACACTTACATGTCTATTTAAATAGCATACAGTTCTCTATATTTAGCAAGCGTTTTTGGACTTAGAATTTTTTAAGACCACGGTGAAAATTTAAGTAAGTTAACTTAATTTTTTATGTAGAGTGGGTCTTCATACCAAATTTTTGCAAGTGAAAAAAGCAACATCTTTCCATTGCCTTTCATTAATCGTTCTCAAAAAAATGGTACGATGACCCACTCTATTTAAAAAATGTAGTTATATCATCCAAATTATGTCAGTTTCTGTGAAAATTGAGCGTGATGCCATTTTGTTGTGTTAATCAGAATCATTTTCGCTGTTACAGTATTCAGGTTTTGTCAAATTTGTATGCAAATGGTAATAAGCATTACATTAATTCAACAAAAAGTGAAATTTTTGTAAAATGAATTTATTGATTTTTTATCGATCGTTTTGTAGGCATATGGCTCGGCTTATCCCCCCAGTTTCTTTACCCTTTCAAGTGATGAAAAATAGAGCACAATTAAAACGGTGATTAATGATAAAATACCCAGGCTCATTTTTAATGATTATAACAAACAAGTTATTTTCCAGTCTTGTAAACAAACAGAATTTTGTGGGTACATTGATCAGGAACTGCTCCAGTCTTTGTATATTAAAGGAATGACATTTAATAATTGCTTTTTAATTACATTTTTTTTAAGGTTCTGCTATTTATCATCTATCATCTTTAACGTCAGATAAGACATATCAGAGGTAACTACTTTCCCTCATACATAATATCAAAATAACATTTGTCAATCATTTTATCAAATACAAAAGCAGAATTTGTTACTTAGCCAGAATAAAGCAACTTCTGATGGCTATTAACCTACACTACAATATGGCCAAAGAAAGATTTCTCATTGAATAGCAAGTATATAATTATACTTATCAAGAGGCCCAAGGGCCTGGTCACCTGAGTATAATACAATATTGTAGAAGGATCCACAGAAGTATAAATAAAACAAAAAATGAACTGATAGATGATCGAAGCTATGTTGCTCAAAAGCAACAAAATCAGATGATCAGGGATCAACAAAATAATTAGTCTATTACTCAGTAACAAATGTTAAAGCAGATCTATTTACTTGTCAGTACCTGACCCCATTTGTCACTATCACCATTCTGACTAAACAAAACAAAAGTGCTTCAGCACTATTGGAATACCAATTGCATTCCCTCTCACACTGGTCTCTCAATTTTAAAAGAGGCACATTTGCTAATCATAACTATGCACTTATTTTGATTGTATGCTGAATACCCAGGAGCAGAGAAGATTTTCAAAAAATTTATATACAGTTTCATACACTGTATGATTATTAGAGCCATGCCCAAATGCCAGAGCCCCTGACCCTGGTGCCACAAATTTCACAATTTTGGAAAAGGCACCCTTGCTCATCATAACAATGCACCTAATAAAATTTGCTAAAAATGCAGGGGAGAGAAGATGATTTTTAAAGGATTTATGCTTTCTCACTATATGATCATTAGAGCCCTGCCCTAACACCAGAGCCCCTGACCCTGGGGCAACAAATTTGACAATTTTGAAAAAGGCTACCTCACTCATCATAACCAGGCACCTAGTTTATCTGCTCAATATACAGGGGGAGAGAAGATATTTAAAAAATTAATGCATTTTCAATATATGATCATTACAACCCCACCCTAATGCTAGAACCCATTACCCTGGGCTCATATATTTCATAATTTTGAAAGAGGCACCCTTGCTCATAACCAGGGACCTAGTTTATCTGCTAAATATACAGGGGGAGAGAAGAAGATTTTTGAAGAATTTATGCATTTTCCACTACATGATCATTAGAGCCCCACCCTAACTCAAGAATCCCTGACCCTGGGGCCACAAATTTCACAATTCTGGAAGAGGCATCCTTGCTCATCATAATCATGCACCTAGTTAATTTTCTAAACATACAGGGGGAGAGAAGAGTGTTTTTGAAAAAATAAATGCATTTTCACTATATGATCATAAGAGCCCCATCCTTAACTCCGGAACCCCTGATTTTGGGGCCATGAATTTCACAATTTTGGTAGAGGGCTCAATGCTTTTTACAATCATGCCAACAGTTTGACTGCTTGATGCCCAGAAGTAAGGAAGACAATTTTTAAAGATGGCACTAATTTTTAAGGTTTTAGCCCCACCCCTCAGGCTGCAGGGGGGCAGGGATCATGAAATAAATAATTTTGTACCACTTTCACCAACTGATGCCAAAATTGGTTGAAATTGGTTCAGCGGTTCAAGAGAAGAAGCTGAAAATGTTCAAAAAGTTTATGACTGGTTGACGATGGACAAAAACTGATATATAGCAATAGGTCACCTGAGTCCCTCAGGTGACCAAAAAACAAAATTAAGATAAAATGCAGAAAAAAATGGTTTTGGCAAAATTCTGCACTTTCTGGGAGCTATAATGGTTTTGCTGCTTTAAATTTTCTCTTTCCTGACACACAGATATACACACACAACATAGATACATGTAACCAGTACTAAATAATATGCAATTTAAATGAAACATCTTTTAATAAATACATTTCCCATCTACAAAGTACAGTATTAATATTGCCTTTGTATTTTATTTTTATCTTGATTGCTTTTAAATAATAAATACAAAACAGTGAAAGAGGTGGAGATTTCCACCTAGTAAAAAAATTCCATGAATCCACAGAATAAAGTCCTGGATATTTCTATGATGACTACATTTCACATAGACTGATACTTAGACAATAATTTAAGCATTTTTTTCAATGTTTTTTTTTACAGGAATAATGGAAAATATCTTTGCATCTTCATTCAGACCAGAAAATATTGCATGAAATGGGACATTTTCAAAGTCCTCCTCCTCTATGTTTTGTTTCACTGTTCAACATGTTCAAGGACCTTGACTATTGAGATATGCCCCCCTCCCTCCCCCTTTCCCCTGATGTTTTTGTTCTACTGCTCAAGCACCTTGACTATTGAGAAATGACCTTGTCAAAGTTAGAACACAAATATGTAATATATGAATTATAATTTTTGTGTTTAAAAGTTTGGGAGGTATTATATAGACACAAAATATCAGCTTATAAAGGAACTGGAAAGGAAAAGCTATACATGTAAACCTCAACTTGTTTAGGCAGGGATATAAGAATTATCAAGTGTGGTCTTATTTTACAATAGCAGAAGTGCAAACTTAACCTCATACATGTAGTAAACAATTAGTGTAACTGTAATGTTGTACAAGTAAAAACTTCAATTAAAGGAAGGAATGTTTCATCCAATACCACTTGCAGCATCTCTTTAGCAAGTTCTGGTACATTGGTATATACACATTTCAGTTATAATCACATAATACACAAGAAACTTCAATATATTTATTTTATGTAAATAGCATATAACAATAAGCATAACAGCATTAAAACCAGAATATCACATTTGGCGTTTGTGTCTTTATTCCTTGTGCTCTTCACTTTTCTCTAACATTGGTGTAAAATTTTGTGGGGTGGATTCCAAAACTTCTTCATTTTGAATCAAACGTGGATCAACAATATTATACCTAACAGGTTTTGTTACCTGCTGTGTAGAGATGTCAAAATTCACTGAAGTATCACCTTTAACCATTGTTTGACTTCCAGTTATATCAGTACTGTGATTTTGCTGGGGGACAGAAGACGTTGTGCTAGGATAATGTACAGATGTAACAGATGGGTAATACCCTGCACTCTGAGGGGGCTGGGGCCACTGCTGGGGTACTCCTGGCTGAACATACATGTACCCTGGGGGTGGAAGATTAGTTGGAACCATAAATGTCCCTTGTTGTGGAGCAAACTGTGGGGGTGGGTAAAAGGGAATATTTTGATGTAAATTGTGTGTCTGTTCTCTATTAGTGCTCACATTTGGCAGATTTAAGCTTGGGTTACTCTGTGGAAGGGGTATATCTTGCACTTGTTCAGGTGGCTGTGACCTGTCTTCTGTGGTTTTCATTGATCTTGTACTGTTAGGAGACACAGCTTCTGAGTTCAAACTCCAATTTTGTTGAGAATTCAGTTTTTCTTGGGACAAAAAGTCTACAATCTGTTTTTCAGTTATTTTTGTCTTTGAATTTCCAGGGCCTGACACCACACTGTCTGTTTTGAGCCTATTTCCAATAGAACTATCACTATCGTCATACATTGATGGGGGTGCAAATTCAGCAATTCTTTCATTTCTTCTGTCTTCAAAGTATCTTTGTTCACTTGACATAGGGAACAGTTCTAAAATACAAACAAGGGAAAGAAGTTACATGTATATCATACAGAGAAAAATGTAATATACAAGCATAATCCAACCATCCCTTAATACAATGGTGCTTCAGTTATTATAATGGTTCTGCACTTATCAATATCCGACTTGATGGCTTTATAAGAATTTCAAAATGTATCAAGGACCAACTTTTGACAAAGTAAGGAGAGCTCCATTTATGAACCAGAATCGACTTGACTGTCCACACAATTCTTATCTTAGTCCTTGATCAGTACTAGTTTCTGGTCCCGTCTCATCACTTACTTTCCTTGCCTTTATCCCATTCCCTCTGGGTGCCGGTGCCTCTGATATTTTCGTCCCTGGTTAGGAGTTCTGGTTCCTTCTTTACTGGTTCTCTCTCCTCTTCTTTGTCTTCTTGTGCAGCTTCACTGAGCTTGGGTCCTATGTCATCTTCATCATTTTCTTTTTCTGCAAAATATTTATTTACAATATACATGCACATTATATTAATGTGCCGAGACTTTGAAAAATAGCTTTCTCTATTGAGTTTTTTTTCCCCTTATTAATGCACAATAACTAATTTTTGGTTTGAGATTAATTTACACAAGGTATGCAGTCACAAATTTTCAGCGGAAATTTCTGAAAGCGTACTTAAATTGCATTTAAAACATACAATAGCAATGCAAGAAATCTACGTGATTTTATATCTGTGGATTGAACAGGAATTGCAATTCCATGGAATTTTGACTCTATGGATAAAAGTACATCTACAGTATCTGAGTCTATCACCTTTGATAATTGATTATGGACAACTTTTTATTATAAAAAAAAACTTTTAAACCTCTAAAGAATTACCATTGAACAGTAATATGCTCATTTGCTATTTTCAATTACCATGTATACAGGTACATTTATTTCCAGCCATTACTGGTTCTCTGTATTAGTGTATACATGTACTGTATACCAACTATAATTCGTGTCATCTTTTATTCGCGATTCCTCAGTTTTCAATCAATTAATTTTCACAACCAAGGAACATTCTGCAAAAATACACAGCAAAATAGCAGTTCATGGCGATTTAAAAAAGGTCGTGAAACTCGCAGATTAGTTCTTGCACGTGAATAAAAGTTGGTTTACAGTATTTCCTGCTTGAAAGTGTGCTAAATGTATTTTACAGGAAATGCATGTAGCTGAGGAAAAATTACAATAAATACTGTATCCAATAAATATTGAAGCTGTACTAAGATACAGGCATACTGTATTTGGCCTGCAAATATAATACGCATTGGTGTAAAACACACACACCCCTTTTTGAGCCTGAAACGGGGGGAAAAAACGCAATTTGGTTGTATTATATGAGCAGAAAATTTTACCAAGCGGTGTTCTGAACTTTTGAAAATCGCGGTAATTTGCTATGAAAATCGGCACGGAGATAAAGTGCTGAAAATTTACAGAACATGATATTTTATTCAAATGCGTTTTTATTTCTTAATCTTGACTTTCCATAACACGGCAATCTGGAGGAAATTATTTATTTTAACAAAGCACGAGATAATGTTGCATTAAAGTATTAACAGAGTTTATTATTAATTTTTTTTAGCAAACGGTGTTTAACAGTTTTCATATTTATTTTTAGTTTAAGGTAATCATGTTGAAAATTATGTAAATTTAAGGCAAGCGATATTGCAACATCAAAGTATTCAAAGACTAAGATTTTCTTCTTTTGAACTTGAAATTAATTAATTAAATAACTAGCTGATGTTATAAAAATAAAATAAAAATTTAACAAGGTGTAAAGTGTAGTTATCAACACACCTCCAAAGCTGTGAAAAATAATGAAAAAAGGTGGGATATATGTCTTCATACATCGAGGTAATCTTCGTGGATATCTTTTTTTTTACATAGCACGAGTAAATGATAACACGTAAGTTTCAACATAATACATATTTCCTTTTTTAACTCTCAATCATTTTAACACGAGGCCGATAGAAGATAAAGTAAAATTACATTTAACAAGCGTTTCACTGTTTAATGTGTCGTAATCAACACAGGCTTATACATACGAAAGATCATATACCAACCCCCAATTTTTAACAAAGAAAATAATCAAAGCAATTAATAAGGACAGTAAATAATCAGTGCTCTAACTGTAAAAACAATGCTTAGGAGTCGGTAAACAATTTAATTGCCTGGAGGGGTGTTGAGGGGTAATTATCAAGTGACAAGCGCACGTGTTTACAACATTGGCTTCCATTCATTGGGACGTACAGAGGGGTGTTTATGTTGAAATGAATTTTCACTGAGTTATTTAAAACCTAAAATAAATTTTATTTTATTGTATTTCATTAAAAGATGACTTATTACTTTTTTGACCGAGTGTCTGACTGTATAGGTACATGTGTACTATGATTACGGAAGCACGTGGCAAAGGAATGTGTGAACATCTATAAATAACATCGTTAATGGCGGCCTACACGGAGACAATGAACATGCAGCTCAAATTAATTTTAACTTGCTTTTAAATTTAATTTAACTATCAAAAGGTTATAAATGTAACATTTTTAACAAGCCTTCATTCCAACAATAACTTTCCGAAGTTTTAAATACGGCAATAAACAGCAAGAAATTGCATAAGTCTCTAGGTAATACTACGGTATGTGCGTATGATAACCGTGTTTCACCTGAAAGAAAAACCTATCAAAATCCCATTGTGGTGTAAAATACGCACCCCTTTCTCACAGAAAATTATTTTGGAAAAAAAGTGCGTATTATATTCAGCCAAATACGGTATATCCCGTGAAACACTTTATAAAGCTTTCACTTGTACCTCCAGGGAGCTCTGTAATCCCTTCTCTTTTCATCTTCCTCTGTTTGACCTTGGCAAGTCTGGCCTCCATGATGGCTTTTCTTTTCTCCTTGACTTTTTCTTTACGATCCCTCTCATCTTTTGTCTAGAACAGTAAAAAGAAATTCTTCACAAATACTACAGAACATAATTTTCTTTAGCTGCAATAATGTAGCCCTCTCCATTTTTTTGTTTTGGGAGAGGGCTACAACTCCTTAGGATCTCTGTAATGGTGCAAGTGCAGAAGTGATTCACTACTGCACTGATATCGACTCAAATTTTCAGTAAGTGGCTATTTTATAAACGTATCTTACCTGAATTTATAAAATATAGTTATGCAAGACATGAATTGATCTAAAAATATACAAAACAATCCGTATATCGGTTATTTTTCATGTACGAGTATGTCAACATCACAACTTAAATTTATCAGCCATGTTTACTGACCTTGATCAATTTTATTTTGGGACAACTAATGAGAATTCGGGATCTAGGGAGCGGATCTTTTAGGATATCCCTTATTTTAAGCATAAATATCGCTGTTAATGAAAAAATATCACATGGAATGCTTTTAGTTAGTGATACCATACAACACAAAAATTTATCAACACCGACATTTACTTTACCAAGTGATTCTAAATTTCAAGCGCAAGTCTCAGTACATCACGCAAGAACTGTCATGGCTGCTGAAGAGAATGCTCGGTAAACACGCAGATTTATTTTACATGGTTTTCGCATATAAAGGGCTATGTTGTTGACAGTGAATAAAATTTCCGTCTTGTTGGAAGTAAGTTGAATGTAAAAACAATTTATTTAGCCTGCAGTCGGCCGTATCTAGAAAATATATTTGCACCATTACGGAGACGCAGTGGAATTGTAGCCCTCTCCTGAAAATATCAGATAAAGATTAAAAATGGGAGAGGGCTACATTATTGCAGCTAAATTATCTTATGCCTTAGAAAATAGAATCATTCAGTAAACATTCACTAAAATTATTATAATTGCAAATAAAGGAGGTGACTCAGTCTGACTCAAGGTTCAGGGGTCCTCTACCTACCTTTTCCCTCATATCATTTAGTGTGTCCAGTTGTTCTTTTCTTGATTCCTCATCTTTGGCAAACTGATAAAACCCTACACCATGGCTTCTGATTTCTGTAACAAGGTTTGTAATGGAATAGTGTCTCAATTTTTTTTTTTTTTTTTTTTACATGCATGTTTTTCAGAAAGATTTTATATCCATCCATGTAAGATGTTTTAGATAATAGTAATAGTTACCCAATTGAAATTTTGTAAAATGCAAAATTTTATGCCTTTAACACTTTCATTAACTTTAAAGAAAATGATGATATATTTTAAAATTCTAAAGTTTAAATTAAAAAAAAAAAAACCCAAGCCATCCCCGTTGACAATGAAAATAGTTTCCATACATCATTTTCACATTGGACAAAAAGGAAACCAGAGGTATGCTAAATATACATGTATAAGGATAGGTTTGATTGTCTCACCATCATACTGGACATTGGAGTAGTGGATGGGCTGATTCATCGCTGCTAACTCTTCTTCTTCCCATTTCTGCCGAAGCATTTCTTTGTACATATCATTAGACACCATCTCAGCTGTTCTATTGTCAACCTTCACACTGCAATCACAAAACAATATCACAATAACATCTTATCTAAAAATTCAGATTTGTTTCTGTTTTCCGACTTGAAATTAATAAACCTCTTAAAACATGATTTATTAATCATACATGTAAATGTAGGTCTAAAACTATTTCTTCAACTTAAATGTTTCTTGCGCTTTCAAGTAATGACAAATTTTTTTTTGAAAAATGAATACCTGTTGTTTTTAAGAATGTTCTTGTCTTGCTGCATCAGTTCTGGGAGATCTTTCTTCATGCATCGACGGGATCTTCCAAATCCATCCACATAATCTACCCTGAATGTACATAATAGATAAAAAAGAAAATGAAACTTTGAAAAAAAAACAAGAGATGTTTGTGAAACACTTATGCCCCCCCTTCTCCCCCTCCCCCCATAAAAATAATTGGAATTTTTCTAAGTCCAAGGGGCATAACTCTGTAAAAAATTGCTCAATCGTATCCAAAACAAAAATTGACCTAGATATTTTTATGATAAATCGGTATACCGAATTTCATTTCAGTATGTGCAACCTCTGCGAAGAAAATGAACCGAAACTGCAAATAATTGGAATTTTTCTAAGTCCAAGGGGCATAACTCTGTCAAAAATTGCTTGATCTCACCCAAAATAAAACTTGACCTAGATATTCTTATGATAAATCTGTATACTAAATTTCATTTCATATGTGCAACTCTACGAAGAAAATGAATGGTAACTGTTGGTGGACCGACAGACAGACCAACCAACTGACAGACATCAGCAAAGCAATATGCCCTCCCTTCTTCGAAGGAGGGCATAAAAACACACCTTTGTAAAATATTTTCAAAGCAAGACATCCTAAGTTCATTCTAGTTCCATAAAATGCATGGGTAAAATTTTGTCTTCAGAAATACCCTCCCCCTTTTTCAAAAAGAATGAAAATTTGAATACACTTAATTCTGGTCTGATGGACAGAGAGTACACAGATCTGCCAATATGGACAATTTAATATCATGAAAAAAAATCCTATCACAATTTACCACTCCTCCTCTTCATTGGCTGGTGGAGGAACTACAGCGTGTTTCAAAAGTTCTTCCTCTTGTCGCTCTCTCTCCTCCTCCTCTTCCTTCCTCCTCTTGTCTCTGTCTTCCACAATCTTGTCTATGGCTTTTTTCTGGAAGTCCACCAAGTAAACCTGACTCCCATCTTCCTCTATAATTATTCAATAAAAAAGGAATTAATTTTCATGATAAACTTTACACATGTACGTATACTTAAGTTTGTCAATGATCAATTATGATACTTTGAGCATATAGAATTTTTTTTATCTACAACTTTGGCTAACATGCATAAAATAAATGAACATGTATATTCAATACATTAATGATTAATGCTGATGATTCCTTTTACCTGGAATGTCATTTCCCTGGGTTATCTTCTCATACAACTTCGCCTTGGCTTCTAAACATTTTCTACAAAAATAAATCTTGATGAAAATAAGGGTATATGGCCAGAATAAGCTTTACTGCCACAGAAATTAACCCCCAACCAATCAGAAGACTCTAACAAGACTGTAGCAATACCGGTTTTTACTTCATTAATAAAGGTAGGGAAAGTTATGACTTAGACTTGAAACTATGGCAACGGCATTAAATAAAATAATGATCTTCAGTTTAGTATCTTTCTGAGTCAATTTTAAGTGCAATTGGACAAAAACTGTAGCAGGAAGAGCATTTGGAAAGAATTTCTGAACAATTTCTATTTTAGTAACCACTGCAAAACTGTTCACTGAAATCCCAAAGCAATATGTGTATCTTAGTGTAGTCTACTTGTCATGTGTATTAAAGTATATTGAAATCGGGCTAAAACTGTAGGAGGAGTAGCATTTTGAAAGAATTTCACAGTTTTATATTTTTAGTAACCATGGCAACATCTTTCATCAAAATCAAGTAACCGATTTATAGAATTATATATCTTTGTGTAGTCTACTTATGTACCAAGTTACATTGAAATTGGACCAAAACTGTAGGAGCAGTAGCATTTTGAAAAATTGTTTACAGTCTGACAGACAGATGAACACCTATCACATACGCTCTTCTGGTCTCTGATCAGTAAAGCTAAAAATGTAGTAGTTTCCCTTGCAGAGTTGTTGTTTCTCCCTCAGACACCTCTGCAATGGCTTTCACTGATTTTTGACATAAAGTAAAAAAGACGATATTCCGAGTTGATTTAGATTAAACTAATAGTTCTAGATCTATCTAGTAAATATCTACCCAAAAGAAAAAACATAAGTCTTAGAGCAAGCTTTTAATTAAATGAATGAAAACAAACGCACTACTTTATCTTTCTTATCACTGTGATACACGCAAGCCCATGACAGAGGTGAATGTATGAGCTGATTGTAGAGAGTGTTGGGTGCCATGGTATAGAATTTTCAATATGAGTATGTAATCTGACACTGATACAAAAGATGTTTATAAATTACAATACTTGCACATATTAAAAAAATATAAAGTCATATACATTAACTGGCACTGACCTTGACCTCTCATACTGATTTGCCTCTTCTATTTTCTCTTCTAAATCTTTGCTACTTCTTTCTAACACTCCTTTGTTCTTTTTGCTCCATACTGATGCTTTCTTTTAAAAAGTTAAAATATAAGTCATGAAACATACAGGTTAAGTGTCTCAAATGATAATATTCAAATGATAAAGATGTACTTTGTATGCACTATCTGATCAATCTGATTAAAATCGGATCTTTGTTACGCTCTGAAATTCTTATGGTCGCTGTACAAAGTACATGCAGCGACCATCAGAATTTCAGAGCGTAACAAAGATCTGATTTTAATCAGATTGCTATGTGATACACATGAGACTGGTGCATAATCAAAGGAAAATCCAGAGTCCTTTTTGCTTTTTTCCTGTGAATGTTGCCATTATCTATAAAAAAAAAATGCAAATACACAGCTAGTATTATGGTTTCTCCATATTGGTAAAAAGACTAAAATCATGTATCGGCTATCACATAGTATCAATTGTAATCTGAATTAATTTCACTGCAAATTAAATGTTAGAAAACACCACACCATATGATCCTAAATCCATCAACTAATTCAACTTCAGAGTGATGGAGTTGTTTTACACACAGCTTACACTTTTTTTTTTTTACATCACATGATACAAATGATTTCAACATGTGGACACTTACTTTTTCCACAGACTTTCCCTTGATGGTTGAGGCATTTTTATTCTGTAGTTGCTGCTTTTTGAATTCCTCCTGTTTTCTAAACAATTCTGCTTTTAGGTCAATAATCTGTTGAAAAAACAAGACCTTATCTATATTGATCATAAAGTAGTATGAATTCTATACCCATGATGCCATTGTTAGGAAGAGGAGTTGTCCATGTACTTTTTATGTAAAAGGAAAATTTATACAAATTCAATATATTTGTTACCAATTGGCTTCAAGTATGACACTTACTGTGAGTAATTCTGTATTCTTTAGAGATTTATTTGAAGGCTTATAAAATTTAGATTATGGCCAGTGGGTGTATCCAGGGCTCGACATTAACTTTTTTCCCTACTTGTTTATTCGGACAAGTGACCAAGACATTTACTTGTCCGAACTTCAACTTTAATAAAGATCTAATACTGTCAACTTGAAAACCAGTGTTTGAAACTCACTGTAAAATTAGACAGACGTGCAGGGCTGACTGCTAGTAAAAGTTGTCAGCCCTGCCAAAGATCTACTTGCCTGAGAAAGAAATTGTCTTTAATAAATTTGTTTTTTAACGATGTGACTGGAACCAGGTCACCATAAATTCAAACCAGAATTGGCTTGTTACACTTTGCTACCGATCCTATTACTTGATATGAAAAAGATTTATCAAATATATGATTTTTAATTATCGAAAATTTTAACATGTCCATCCGGGCGTCAGTACATGCAGATTTGTTTGCCCACTGCAAAATTTGTGCGTCTTGGGCGGTCGGGCGCACGGTTATTTCAAACACTGTTGAAAACTAAAATAAAGTCCATTACACATGACATGTGCTTGATTTATTCGAGATGTTATTGATAAATACAACAAACACATAAAACAAAATTTTATCTAACAACAAGTTAATCTGTCAACATCAAACGGAATCCAAACTTTGTTAAGTTCGTAAGTTCCATACCTTTTCAGTAGTATGCAATTAGTGAACTTCGATCCCGATCAAATGTGAATCGAAGTCCGATTTTTATGTAGGGCTTCCGTCTTGAAACTACCTATTAACTTTCAACAGTCGTTCTTTTTATTATTTAGAGACCTCTTTACATTAAAATGAATGCACTTGTCCAATCGCACAAGTGCCCAGCAATATTCATTTGTCCGTAATTTTTTTTCACTGGTACCGGTCATGCGGACGAGTGTTAATGTCGAGCCCTGGTGTCCCAACCACATTAAATGTCATTTTAACAAGGTTGTCATCACAGGGATTGAAAATTTAAATCACTTTATGAGGAACTTCTAAAACTCTGTAATGATGTATCGTTTCTTTTGAGTCCCTTCAAGAATTTTTCATCTCATATTGGGATGCCACCACTTGCCAGTGGAAGATAGATGTAATTTTAGACCTGTAATTGGCACTTATGGCCAAGAAATCCAGTCAATGCGCCCCCTAACAAAACCGTCCCGGTCAAAGCGCCCCCTGATTTTGGTCAAAGCGTCCCCTGATTTTGGTCAAAGCGCCCCCTGATTTTGGTCAAAGCGCCCCCTAAAGAAATTTTACAGAAAAATGATGTGACAAAACCGCCCCCAAATATTGGTCAAAGCGCCCCCTGATTTTGGTCAAAGCGCCCCCAGCTGATTTTGGTCAAAGCGCCCCTAAAGAAATTTTACAGTAAAATGAAGTTACAGAACTACCCCGAAATATTGGTCAAAGCGCCCCCTAATTTTTGGTCAAAGCGCCCCCTGATTTTGGTCAAAGAGCCCCCTAATTTAATTGTATAGAAGAATCCATTTTTCGAAATTGTCACCAAGCAATGGTCAAACCCATGATTTTGGTCAAAGCGCCCCAAAACCTATTTTTAAGGGGAAAAGACGATACGAAAACTTATTACATACGAAACCTTTTTTTCATTATCTATTTATCAATATTTTTTTCATTATTTATATATCAATAATTTTTTCATTATCTATTTATCAATAGTGTATTCAAATATCACTATGTATTATATCGTTTTTCTTATGTTCAGGCGCGAATTTAATTAAAATGTGGCGCATGTGTAATTAGAAATTCAAGTATATTTATTTAAGCAAGTACTGATGATTCAATTTATACTCTTGTATTATGAATTAAAGTTTGCATTAAAGTTTGCAATCAATTCTATTATAGTAAATTGTTATTTACTGGTTAATAAATTCAGGAAATTGAAGTACAACGAAATCCCATATTTTTCGTCACATTTCACCCAATGATAAATTGTGAAAATTTATTTGAGCAAGTATACTATGATTCAGTTTGTATATCTTGTTTTTAACATTTTACAATTATTAGGTGCTCACAATGTCTATGATCTTTGTAATTTAGAGAAAAATATGAGAGTTCTCGCATATGGTAATTTTCCCAGAAATCATTATTATCATATTGTAATCTATAAAAATCGCCATACAAAGCTATTATGTAATACTTTGTATTATTTATGTTATTGTTAAAATGCGGTAAGATGTATGTCTAAAGCAATAAATAAAAAATAAAAATAATATTATGAAATGAATTTTTGTAATCAATTTCTTATAGTAAATTGTGTTATTCACTGGTAAATGAGTGCAAGTCTACTTGCAAGTGTATGTCTTCGTCAACATTTTCAAGGTGACAGAGGTAGGTTGACGACCAATCATCATAGGGAGATGGGTGTCAATCTTCAAAAGAGAATGGACCGACAAACCCCCAATGAGGGCAATGTCAGCTCTTACTAGTATATTGTTATCAAAACATGAGGATCTAAGGGTTTCAGCATCGTGTATTTGACATTTTCTGCATACCTCCGATTGGTCAAATTGAAATTAACCAATTAAATTATTTTCAATATTGGAAAAAGTATATATTGAGACAAATTTTAACTTCAATATCATTTACCAAAATGAATTCCTGCACTCTGTGTAAGAAGACGGTTAGGCCTCGCCAACACGCAATCCAGTGTGATGGCTGTGAGAAATGGACTCACAGAACCTGCAACACTGGTAAGTTTATTTTCTTTTGTATTTATAAACTTTAGTATTCCAGTAAACATACTGATAAAGTAGATGAGATATAATTTGAGTAGCACAAGTCTAATTGGACTTAGATGTTAACATTTCCTAAAAGACTTTCTTTTTTTTTTTTGGGGGGGGGGGGTAAATTTTTCTTTAAAATCATATGAACAATAAATCTGCCAAGCCTTCATATCTCTTTCTTTATTTAAATAGTTGGTTATAAGATTCAATTGGAAGAAATTGTTATTTCTTGTAAGTTAAACAAAATGATCAACAAACTATAATCATGGTTGAAAATGATGTATAATTAATTTCTGTTTCCAGCATACCAAAGTATGCATGTTTAATATAATAAAACATAAGTTCCTGTAATGTTAAAAACACCAGTCCATATGCTTATAGTTACTTCCATGTATACTTATGTTTAACAATGACTATGTTGAATTGTAAACTATGACGGATTTTAACATTTTATATTACATGTATCTATGCATGTCTGAATAGGATGGCATCCCTCACTCCCACTGGTCAGGTCGTGAAGTTATCAAATTTAGAGAGATAACATTTTATAATCATTGCTATTAATTTCTGCAGATGAAAAGCATTTTTAAAAGAAATATGATTTATATTTCTTAATTCAAAATATATCGCATTTTCTTAATGTCAATGTTCCTTAGTGTACAGAGGGTCTACAGTTATTGTTCCGATGTATTTTTTCATCAGTGTCGTATTATTGTCCAGATAAATGTTTTTTACTCCTGGAAAACACACACACAAATTCAGCTAACTGAATGAAATCTGCTTTTATCATAAACAAAAAAAAAACAGGATTGGGAGGGGGGGGCACCAAAGACCGCACAGTGTTTACAGTTAATCACCTTAGGCTTTAGACCAAACCATTTTACAAAATACATTGTTTATTTTATTCATTTTTTTTTTTAATGATTTATTTAATAAATTTCTTTGTGAATATGTGCATTCCTGTGGGAAAAAAATTCCCGTGCTTTTCTGTGATAGGTTTATTAAAACAAATCTCTCATTTTGACGTCGCGTAATGTGTTTAAAAATATTTATTGATTAACTCATTTCTAATTCCTTAAGTGTGTTTAAAACAGGAGGTTTAACGTTATCCCGAGAGTTCGTAATGCTTTTCGCTTGAAGTCGATTATTGCAGCCCGTAGGACCGGGCTGCTCTATACATAGTGTTGGTATATATGGGGATTGAGATGGGAGAAGTTATTCAGAATTAAAGGTTTTCTAAACATTAAAAAGATTGTTAATCAGAATGTTCTTTCCCTTTATAAATTACGAGATACACAATATATTTACTTCCATAAAGTGAATCTGTAAAAATATATATGTTTTTCATGTTTAATATATAAAGTTGCTTATCATTTACTATCGAAAAAACGACAGGTCACTTTTTTTAGAACATCGAATTTTACTTATCGCATAAAAACGTAAAAATGTACTTTACACAGTTCTTGTATTATATTCTTAAAGTGAAAGATATTTTTGAAAATAGGTGATGCATGTGTCTGGTTTCAAATTATATTTGATGCAGCCAACATTTACTTGAGAAATTGATAAAGTTTAAAAGGGTATCGTTTTTGTTCGATTTTCATCCAACTATAAGTTTTCAAAATATTCTTGACTATCGTCTCCATCATTTAGACGCATGCCTTTTTCACACATATCGAAGCAGTTTGATGATAAAGACTCATTTCCATTGTTTACTTTATTTATTTCCCGGGCGACAATTGATGGTTACATCAATGCTTTCTTGTCAATTTTCTGAAAGACCTTCTTTTTTATACGAATGGAAAAGATTCAAAGACCGAACATTAATTTTTTTTTTTTTTTTTTTTAAACTATGCATATCTTTGGGAAAGAATTAAAAAAAAAATGCTATCATGTAAGGCCATCTTTAAAAAGAAAATGATTGTTTGTCCTCTCTTGACCGAGTTATTACTCTATTAAATATTTCATGGATCGCGATGAACGGTTCACGCTGAACAAACAAAAGAAATGAATAGCATAAATTAGTAAAGAGACCAGATTTAGGGGGCTTTTTGCAAACAGACATTCTATAAAAATATCTAAGGGGCGCTTTGACCAAAATCAGGGGGCGCTTTGACCAAAATCAGGGGGCGCTTTGACCAATATTTGGGGGCGGTTTTGTCACATCATTTTTCTGTAAAATTTCTTTAGGGGGCGCTTTGACCAAAATCAGGGGGCGCTTTGACCAATATTTGGGGGCGGTTTTGTCACATCATTTTTCTGTAAAATTTCTTTAGGGGGCGCTTTGACCAAAATCAGGGGGCGCTTTGACCAAAATCAGGGGACGCTTTGACCAAAATCAGGGGGCGCTTTGACCGGGACGGTTTTGTTAGGGGGCGCATTGACTGGCTCCCTTTTATCCCATGGCCAATGAGCAGTGAGGAATCTTTTTCAAACTACCACGGTCTCAGCGTCTGAGATTAACTTTTACGAGAACTAGACCAGTCGGGCTACTTCCCATAGTTTTAACTAGCGCTGACCATAAAATCACTAGCCCTGACCAAACTTGCAAATTTACTTCTGATATTAGAGAATTTTATTAATAATTAGGTAACTTTTGAATCTTAATTAATTAAGAAAGACATCGTCTTTTTTGATAATCTGTTTGATAGGTCCTAGTAAATTGAGTCCGGTACATAGGCACATTTGAGTATTATAAGCCTTAAAGAACATTCAATGAACTTTAATAAAATAATTATCATAAAAATCAATAAATATATTTTAAAATATATTAGGTGTAACTATTTATACCATGTTGATACAGTATGACAGTAGTCTGGACTGTGACTTGTCTATTGCAGATGTGGCTAAAATAAGTGATTTCTTTGCACACCAATAGCTGTTTACAATTGGAATGGACAAAAAAAAAAATTCTTTAAAAGTTTTTAGATTACATGTATTTATTTGAAAGGCTGAAATGGAGGTTTAACAGTTATTTTATCAACACAACCAATTGGTCTAGTTCAGGTAAATTTTACACGACCAGACCACTCACTTAACTAGACTGGGTCGATTGGACGTGCCTTAATGTCAAACCCTGGGTCTACACCTTCTATGACACTGGACCTTGTTTTAATGGTCTAACTGGTCTTTATGTGACGTCCTGTGACATGAGGATCAACTTAGTACTCCGGAAACACTCTAGAAAGTGAACCTTAGGTCCATGCTTTGCACAAGGAAGATAATGATCTCAGAATGTGACATGACCCTGATCTACACTCAGATTAAAACATTGTCAAGATGAATTTATTCCCCATTTTCATTTCAACTTTTCATGATCTGAGGAATTTGTGTTAAACAAGTTATGACAATTAGAATGATGTAACATTTAAATATGCAAATGACAGTTAGATGTAAAATATAAAAGCATCTCCCTGATGAATTATCTTGAAATTATTTGAATGAACAAAAACAGCCGTAAAATCTTAGCAACTCACAGATGATGAATTCACATCTCTCTTCCCTTCCATTTTCAAACGCACAAATGATGAAGACGTTTTGGCAGCGTTCAAAAAGGATAATTCATACTTTGTTTAAGTAAAAAAATCAGAAATAAGATTTTGTCCAGACATCCTACGTTTACTTTAATCGTTTATTCATTTCTTTTATTTTTTAATCTTTTCATTTAACTAACTAAGAATAAACTGAATTCATTGAAGCTTCATTTTTTGTCGGATGTACGCGTCTTTCCAAAAGCGTGTAAGTGACATTGATGAGGTGTTGGAAGGGAAAGCTGCTGGGAGGTAAACAAAAACCTTGCTATTTATAATTATATATCAGACAACATGGGGGAGATTTCTCCTATGTAACTTATTTAAAAAGATTATTTTCCATATGACTGTGAAGTTTCATTTGATTTGTAGAAAACGCATCTCAAGGGCAGAATGCAGTGAAAGAATATTTTGTTCTGATGTTGAGTGGGAATGTGAGAATACAGTGTACCTTACTCTGATTTTCCAATCCGCTTGTCTCTGGTACTGCAGTTAGAGACAGGGTTTGTACGAAGCTTGTTTCACAAAGAACTGTTTTGTGGTAAGAATTTGTGTAGACATTTCATGGCAATGGGAAAAAATACAACATCTGGATTAACTGTGAAATCTTTAGCACATTTATTCCATTTTGAGTCCCTTCTTGAAGAGATGAGTGGTCACTTATAACAGTTTACCATACTAAAAAAAAAGTTTAAGGTATGATCCAATGTTTTACTCAGAGGGAGGATTAATCTCAGCGTGATTCGTTGAAACTAAAAATTTTGTACTGACATCTCTTCGGGAGGGACGTTGATACCAAATTTTTAGAGATAAAGGGAGGATATGATATCTTCTTCCATTGAAGTTAAGGTCAAGATCTAGTAAATGGAAGGTGCCTACAGGTTTCTCTAATTTGAGAAATAAATTCCTTTAATGATGCTTTATAACTTTAGCTTGGTCAAATAAGGTGTTTCGGGGTATAATTTGTAGGTAAGCAAGTAGCTGCAATAATGTAGCCCTCTCCGATTTTTTTTTTTTTTTTTTTGGAGAGGGCTCCTCTCCTGAAAATATCAGATTAAAAAAAATCGGAGAGGGCTACATTATTGCAGCTAGTAAGCAAGAAGAAAAATCATATTTTAGACTGTCATTTTCAATGAAAAACAAAGAAAACCAGTCATGAATACAAGAGTTTTTTCCATATCAGACAAAATAAATGTATCCAGATTGCCTACAGTCTCTCAGAAAATGGTAATTTGTATGTTCTTGGCCTCTTCTTTAAGATAATATTAAATTGAATATAGGTATCGGGATTACTTTTCACATGATTTCAAATTGAATTCCATGAAAATACTTGATTTTGTACATAAATCTATTAGAGCCGTAAAATACGGGAAAAAGAAAGTTGAAATTGATTATGACGTCATAATGGATCTAGCACCAAATAGTAGTCTAAAGCATTTACTAGATCTTGACCTTAAGAGCTGCTACTAGCATTATCTCACTTTAGTTAAAAAGCGTGTGTGAGAGGGGGATAGTAACTCTTTACATTTCTCAGACAAGTCAAAATATGCCAAGACTAAGGTGGATGTCATTTCAAGTTTTATCCAGTGATGAATGAGTTTTTGCCCCTTACTGCTATGAAAAGCATAGTATAGCCTTCAATATTTTTTTTTTTGAGGCATATATAGATTTAGGTTTTTCCACATGTTCCAGGCATGTGTTTTGATAGTCATGTTATTAATAATATTAAATGGCACTGTTTATCTGTCTGTTTCCATCTGGATAGTTCAATATTCTGGACTTTTTTTTGTTATGCTTTGAGGTAGGAACTTGGAGCTATAGATTGAATTTCTACATTGATTAACTTTACAGGCCATGAATCCATCTGTGAATAAGTTGCCAGATGGGTCACAAATTATTGGCACTACCACAACAGTTCAGCCCATTGCCATTCAACAGCCAATAGGAGTCAGGCAGCAGATCCCCGCAACAATCCCAGGAACTCCCACACAGGCTGAGACGAAGGTTCTGGACAAGAGACGTCTGCAGGAACTGGTCAAAGAGATCGATCCCATGGAACAACTGGATGAGGATGTTGAAGAGGTAGTGTTAAGCTTGCATACATGTGTATCTTTGAATATGGCATTTGGTAAGATAAGGGAAGGCTAAAAATGGCTTGATCTGCATTCTTACACTTGTTTGATATATATTTAGATTATTCTGTAAATGTCATTGCAAGTTTAGAGCCTTTTATAAAGATATGTTTGTGTCCCAATTACATTGAAGATTTTTGGAGAAGGATAATTGAGTCTAGTCAGTCTGTTTGGACACAACCTTAGCTTAAGACGTAATTACTTTGTGATGAAAGTAGAATATAAATTAGGTTTTAGTTTGCTTGGACGACAAAAATCAAATATGAATTTTTTCCTGCCAATTAATATGACTTTCTCTTGATTTTTAGCTCACCTGAGCCGAAGGCTCAAGTGAGCTTTTCTGATCAAAATTTGTCCGTTGTCTGTCGTCGTCGGCGGCGTCGTTGTTGTTGTAAACTTTTCACATTTTCATCTTCTTCTCCAGAACTACTGGGCCAATTTCAATCAAACTTGGCACAAAGTATCCTTGGGTGAAGGGGTTTCAAGTTTGTTCAAATGAAGGGCCAAGCCCTCCTCCAAGGGGAGATAATTACGAAATAGCAAAAAATTAATGGCATTATTGAAAAATCTTCTTCTCAAGAACCAGTGGGCCAGGAAAGATGAAACTCATGTGGAATTATTGTCAGGTAGTGTAGATTCAAGTTTGTTCAAATCATGACCCCCGGGGATAGGGTGGGGCCACAATGGACGATCAAAGTTTTACATAGGAATATATAGGAAAAAATCTTCAAAAATCTTCTTCTCAAGAACAGCAAAGCTATGATTGGTCATATTTATTTGGAAGCATCCACAGGTGGTGTAGATTCAAGTTTGTACAAATCATGACCCCCGGGGGTAGGGTGGGGCCACATTGGACGATCAAAGTTTTACATAGGTCTGGAATATATAGGAAAAATCTTCAAAAATCTTCTTCTCAAGAACAGCAAAGCTATGATTGGTCATATTTATATGGAAGCATCCTCAGGTGGTGTAGATTCAAGTTTGTTCAAATCATGACCCCCGGGGGTAGGGTGGGGCCACAATGGACGATCAATGTTTAACATAGGTGTACATAGGAAAAATCTTCAAAAATCTTCTTCTCAAGAACAGCAAAGCTATGATTGGTCATATTTATTTGGAAGCATCCTCATATAGTGTAGATTCAAGTTTGTACAAATCTTGACCCCCGGGGATAGGGTTGGTCCACAATGGACGATCAAAGTTTTACATAGGAATATATAGGAAAAATTTTCAAAAATCTTCTTCTCAAGAACAGCAAAGCTATGATTGGTCATATTTATATGGAAGCATCCTCAGGTGGTGTAGATTCAAGTTTGTTCAAATCATGACCCCCGGGGGTAGGGTGGGGCCACAATGGACGATCAATGTTTAACATAGGTGTACATGGGAAAAATCTTCAAAAATCTTCTTCTCAAGAACAGCAAAGCTATGATTGGTCATATTTATTTGGAAGCATCCTCATATAGTGTAGATTCAAGTTTGTACAAATCTTGACCCCCAGGGATAGGGTTGGTCCACAATGGACGATCAAAGTTTTACATAGGAATATATAGGAAAAATTTTCAAAAATCTTCTTCTCAAGAACAGCAAAGCTATGATTGGTCATATTTATATGGAAGCATCCTCAGGTGGTGTAGATTCAAGTTTGTTCAAATCATGACCCCCGGGGGTAGGGTGGGGCCACAATGAACGATCAAAGTTTTACATAGGAATATATAGAAAAAATCTTTAAAAATCTCAAGAACAGCAGAGCCACGGTTTGTCATATTTATACGGAAGCATCCTCATATAGTGTAGATTCAAGTTTGTTCAAATCATGACCCCCCCCCCCCCCCCACTCCCTTTTTAGGGGTAGGTTGGGACCACTTATGCATTTAAGCTTTTCAATACTAAACTGATTTTTTCCTTTTTTCCTAGCCACAGTGCTCAGGTGAGCGATGTGGCCCTTGGGCCTCTTGTTTAAATTTTATTTTTATATGTGAGTTATTTTGTCGGAAAAAAATCGATTTAAGCACAATATTTTGTTTGGAAAAAATTTCAGGCATTGTTGAATATAGCTGATGACTTTATAGACAGCATTGTGACATCTGCCTGTCAAATTGCCAAGCACAGGAAGTCCAGTACTCTAGACGTCAAAGATGTTCAACTTCATTTAGGTATCATACAGTATCAAACATGTGTATTATTTATGTTAATTATAAATATTAAGAAAGTTTTGATTTCTCACCAAGGTCAGGTAATGAGTAGTCAGTAAAAAAAGTTAGTTATAAAATGTCATGAAATACTTGTAAAAAAAGGGGAAAGTCTTTGTAAACTGTATATATATATATATATTCCTTTTCAAGTATGAGACTTAGCTTTTGTGCCTCAGTTGATATACTGTATTTAATAGCAGGTAATTGAATAACAGATCCTGTGATGAACCTTTAGCTAACTTGAGTAACCTGATTATCTTACAGAGCGTAACTGGAATATGTGGATTCCTGGATTTGGATTGGATGATCTGAAGCCGTATAAAAAGTCAGCAGCCACTGAGGCTCATAAACAGGTTAGAAATGTGTTGCTCATCAGTAAATCTTGTCTATATGTTAATCATGTAGTATTTTTACATGCTTGGTCAATATGTATGATGTACTGTACAATGTTCTTGTATGCATTCATTCAAGCCTATATTGTCTATGTACATGACATTGTATAATTAAAACAATTCGCGAATTTTGCATTGATGCAATCTTCCAGCAGTTATGAAAAAGTAATTGTATGAGTGAACCTGGGAGATACAGTTTGACTGCCTCTTACATTTAAAACCCATGTATATGCACATGTAATATAGACATTTTAGATAAATTAACCAGATTGGACCTAATACTCAGTCCATTCTTTATTTTCCAGAGGATGGCACTTATCCGAAAAACTCTCAAAAAATATTAAGAGATTTAACTGTGGAACATCTTCACTGGATAGTTGTTTGTTGTGGGAGTATTTTTAATGTTCAGAAAGTGAAAAAAGACAAATGCTGGAACATTGACTTACAAATTAATTTTTGAACATCACAACTTCATCCATTCTCTTCACCAAGATGGAATCAATTTCAAGGACATGTATAAAGTTGTTGTGTCAATTTTAATATGAATCATATTACCAAAATGTATCCTCATTTTCATCATGTTGTAAGATATGAAATAAATCTTAATTTCAGTTATGACATTAAATATGTTCATTGTGATACATAACATCATTGCTTTAAATAAAAATTACAGGGATGAATAGGAAAACGAAAGTTCCTATATAAAAGAATGTTATTAATTCTTTCTCCGTTGTGGGAAAAATATAATGGACATGATTTTTTTTCTTCTCTACATGTATGTTGCAATCAAAAGAATATAGTGAAGATGTGAATATTTTTTTGACTGATGAGAAACATTGGTTTTAGTAGGGGGAAGCTATTAAGAATTCCAAGTCATTCGAAAGCGCAGGATAATGACTAAGAGTTTTAATAAATGTATTTTTAGAACATTTAGACTCTCTAGCTTTGAGTTGATCATGCTTAAATGTTTCAGTTTCTTATTGTCCAGAACTAATGATTGTCCAATTTTAATAAAATGTGAACAAAATGATATAAATAAAGTTCAAATGCTGTTCAAAGGGAGATCATTTAGAAAATAGATTTCCTCGAGATAGCTCTAAAGTAAACAACATAAGGGTAATGGATTCTTACTGAAGGGAACTCTTTATATTTAGAAAAAATTGGTCTTTGTCTAGAAAATGCTGCTTGTATTTTTTTTATATGAAAAAAAGAACACTTCCCCCAAAATTTGATTTAAATTTCATAGAGTTAATGACAACCAAAATTACGTACATTATACCTGAAAGTAATCAACCTTGATGGAGTTTACATAAAATGTGATTTAACCTTGACCTTTGACTAGGTTCAAACACTGCACACCTTGAGGTATGCATCTGGTGAGGAATGAACTAATCTTAAATAAGGACAGACATATATTTACCAAAAAGTTTTATTTTGACCACCAATGATTTTAAAACTTGGCTCAAGGTCAGTACACACCAATTTATCCAAGGGCACTTTTTAGATGAAGTATGGTCAAGATTAGGCCAAGATATGAAGAAAATCTCTTCTGGACACAAGTTTTATGCAGAGACTTGTTTTGAAGCAGAAAAGAAAAATTTTACACAAATGTTGACTTTGACTTAGAAATTTTGATCAAGGTCACTGCACAACCGTTACCCAAATGTCATTATTGAGTGAAACATTGGCCAGATTGGGCCAAAGGGGGAGAAAGACAAGCTTCAAACAAGGATTACACAGAAAGGCCTGACTTTTATTAAGGACCCTTTATACAACAATTAAAAAATGTTTTTTTTTTGGACTTGGAAGAAATTATATAAAGATGCAGATATGGAGTTTATTTGATTCTCAGCATAGGGCACCTGCCAATTACTGCCAGGAAAAATATTCAAAGAAATGAAGTGTTGTTGAACTGTTATCACTGTTCCTTACTTAAATGAGAAAAGTACATGCAAATGAAGTGTTCAGTTAAATTCATCTACTGGCCAAATGAAATATTTAGAATGCTTGAATTGATTACAAATTGAGTAATAAACTGCAGATTTCAACTTATTTCATTTCAGATCCAAGGGCATATCACTCTAACTGCATAAAAATACCATGGAATTAGAACTCTTTAGTGTGCAGTGTATAGAGTTCTTAAATGTATAGAAACTTCAATCAACATCAATGCACATTCTTTACCCAAGGACACTTTATGGGAAAAATATGAGCTTAGTTGGGTCAAGGGAAGAAAAAAATATGCAGTAAATAGAGACTTTACATAGAAACCTGTACAGAGTTGCCATATATTTGAAAACTAACTTGAGTTTCAATTTTACTGACTAAATTGATCACTTGCATTTTTAGGTCACCTGAGTCACTCAGGTGACCTATTGCTATCTGTTTTCGTCCGTCGGCGTCCGTCCTGTGTCGTCCGTTGTCCGTCGGTCGTAAACTTTTGAACATTTTCAGCTTCTTCTCTTAAACCACTGAACCAATTTCAACCAAATTTCGCATATAGCATCTATGGGTGAAGGGGAACAAAAATTGTGAATTTCATGGTCCCTGCCCCCCTGGGGCCTGAGGGCTGGGGCTAAAACCACCAAAATTAATGCAGTCTTTAAAAATCTTCTTCTTTACTCCTGGACATCAAGCAGTCAAACTGTTGGCATGATTGTAGTAAGCATTGAGCCCTCTACCAAAATTGTGAAATTCATGGCCCCAGGGTCAGGGGTTCTGGTGCTAGGGTGGGGCTATATAGATCATATAGTGAAAGTGCATTATTCCTTTGAAAATCTTCTTCTCTGCTCCTGGGTATTAAATAAAGTAGCTAAGTACATAGTTATGATGAGCAAGAGTGCCTTTTCCAGAATTGTGAATTTCCTGGCCCTAGGGTCAGGGGTTCTGGTGTTAGGGCGGGACTCTATTGATTATATAGTGAAAATGCATTAATTCTTTGAAAATCTTCTTCTTCTGCTCATGGGTATTAAATAAAGTAACTAAGAACATAGTTATGATGAGCAAGAGTGCCTCTTCCAAAATTGTGAAATTCATGGCCCCAGGGTCAGGGGTTCTGGTGTTAGGGTGGGGCTCTATTGATTATATAGTGAAAATGCATTAATTCATTGAAAATCTTCTTCTCTGCTCCTGGGTATTAAATAAAGTAACTAAGTACATAGTTATGATGAGCAGGAGTGCCTCTTCCAAAACGGAAAATTCATGGCCCCTGGGTCAGGGGTTCTGATGTTAGGGTGTGGCTCTATTGACTATATAGTGAAAATGCATTAATTCATTGAAAATCTTCTTCTCTGCTCCTGGGTATTGAATAAACTAACTAAGAACATAGTTATGATGAGCATGACTGCCTTTTCAGAAAATTGTGAATTTTATGGCCCCTGGGTCAGGGGTTCAGGTGTTAGGGTTGGGCTCTATTGATTATATAGTAAAATTGCATTAATTCTTTGAAAATCTTCTTTTCTGCTCCTGGATATTAAATAAACTAAGTTCATAGTTATGATGGGCATGGTTGCCACTTCCAAAATTGTGAATTTCCTGGCCCCAGGGTCAGGGGTTCTGGTGTTAGGGTGGGGCTGTATTGATTATATAGGGAAAATGCATAATTTCTTTCCGAATCTTCTTCTCTGCTCCTGGGTATTATTCAAACAAAGGAAGTGCATGGTTATGATAAGAAAGAATTATACCTCTTCCAAAATTGTGAAATTCATGGCCACTGGGTCAGGGGTTCTGGTGAAGAGGGGTGGGGGTGGGGACTCTAATTGATTATATAGTGAAAATGCATAATTTCTTTCAAAATATTTTTTCTACTACTGCTTATAAAGCAAAGAAACAAGTATATAGTTATGATGAGCAAGGGTTCTTCTTCCAGAATTGTGAGTTTATGGCCCCTGGGTCAGATGTTCTGGTATAAGGGTGGGGCTTTATTTATTTAATAATATAGTGAAAATGTATTTCTTTGAAAATCTTCTATACTTCTGGGCATATTCGAGGCAAACATAGTAAAAGTTTTAATATGCAAAGGTATTTTTACCAGAATTTTGAACACCTGGACCATTTAGTCAAGTGTTCTGGTCCTGGCCAGGGCTCTATTAACTTGTATTCTGCTGAGCAAAGTTATTCCCCTTTGCCATTCACCTTTCATAATTAATCACTGTTAACAATGTATTCGAAAGGTTAATAGAATAAAAGAATTATGCAAGAAAATTTATACAAAAAGTACTTTCATAGTTTTAATGATCAGGTAGACTTGGAATTTATAATAGATGAATACAAGAGGCCCATGGGCCACATCGCTCACCTGAGTAACTTTGGCCATGCTGTTCTTTACCAAATTTCCCCCTTGTAATACCTATTGTGGCCCCGCCCTACCCCCGGGGGTCATGATTTGAACAAATTAGAATCTACACTACCTCAGGATGCTTCCATACAAGTTTCAGCTTTTCTGGTTCAGTGGTTCTTGAAAAGAAGATTTTTAAAGATTATCTTATATTTCAATGTAAAAGTTGGATTCTCTATTGTGTTCCGCCCTACCCCCGGGGGTCATGATTTCAACAATGGATGCTTCCACTTAAGTTTCAGTTTTTCTGGCCCAGTGGTACTTGAGAAGAAGATTTTAAAAGATTTTTCCTATATTTTTCAATGTAAAACTTGGATTCCCTATTGTGGCTCCTCCCTACCCCCAGGGGTCATGATTTGAACAATTTAAAATCTACACTACCCCAGGATGCTTCCACATAAGTTCAGTTTTTCTGGCCCAGTTGTTCTTGAGAAGAAGATTTTTAAAGATTTTTCTTATATATTTCAATGTAAAACTTAAATTCCCTATTGTGGCCCCGCCCTACCCCTGG